AAGTCGAACATAGCCAAATGAAATATATACGTAAATATATATATATATATATATATATAAATCTAGATATCTCCTCTGTCTTTTAATTATCTTACGAGAATTTATCACGAAGAAAAATTGGGTCACGAAAATTAATAAAGGGATCTATCACGAACAAGGTATCAACCAGTTAGTCGATAGTTTCTTATCAATCTTATCAATCGTAATTAAACGCTCATGTCGGACGCTTCCGCTTCCGTAGGTTTTATCTACGTTCAGAATAAGAATTATTTTTACATAGAGGTTCTGTTCTGCTGTATAAAGCAATAATATACGACGTAAATGTTGTTCATGAATCTGCATCCGTTGTATTCATCCAATTGACAACTTGTCACTAAGTGATGATTGAGCGATATCGCGAGCATCAAGGACAGCAATTTATTGATAGCGCGATAGGTACGAATGGATTAGCTGCGCGATAATGATTTATTGAGAGCTCGCAATGATTTTCGTCATTGCTTTTTTTGTACCAATGATGCAAAATGCGAATCCGTAGAGAAGTACGTTGCGTACAACGTAAATGCAATTGCACAATTTTATGGGCGTTGTAGAGATATGTGATACACAGTCGTCCAATTATTCTCTTTGCGCAATCCATTGTTTTTACTCCTGTGTGTCTGAATCCATTTGCTTTATATACATATTTTAATCAATTTTATAATTATTATACAAAAATATATATAAAATTACGCAAATTTTTATATAATTGAAAAATACAATATACTGTACGTGTTGGAGAGAGATATTATTGTGACTGGTGAAAAAAGTACGTAAAGAGAAATATGTATTACACGGCATGTCTATTCGCATTTTAAATTCAGGCTAATTACTTTTTCCACTTGTCCAGATTCGTCAGATTTGCATTCGTAATCACGAGACGGAAAACTACCGGGATTCGCGTGTCGCGACGTGCGTTTTTCCGCGAAGCACATAATTACGTGCAATCTCTTCGAAACGGTCGTCGTTCCGCTTTCCATCTGCATTCGGCGCGAATGGAACCTCTTCCTCCTTCTCCTCGACCTCGACGGACTTTCATGTCCGCGCGCGTTGCTGTACAAAAGAATGTAACGGATATATCAAATGCTTGCAACAGGATATCCGCGTTTTTCAGATGACATTGTACTTTTTAACAGAATACGCAGTCGCTATATAATGAAACGTCGCGGTAAGAGAAACGGAAAAGGGGAGATTTCAGAGAGAGAGAGAGAGAAGAATAATCGTGAACCTTTGACACTTGATCGCATTTTTTACGCGATTATCAATGCGAAACGACCGAATGGAGATATGACGAAATTGCGGTGAACGGAAAGACCAAAAACAACGCAAAACATCTTGAACATTATCTTTTTCCGTTATCTTATCTGTTTTTTATGCGTCACGATAATGTGACATGTGCATTTCAAATATAATTGCATCTATAGGGCATTTAATTTTTATCGCAACAGAAGAGAAAACAAATTTATTAATAATTAAATAAAATTATTTAAAATTTTCACAAACATTCACAAAGTAAAATTATTATCTGCTAAAATATTTTATATCTTGCATAGCTTTCACCATGAAATTAGTCTAAACTCGTTAATGACTGATATTGAAAGAAATTACATATTCTGTGCAATGCGGAAAACTCGCAAAAAGATTTTACATGTAACCGGGCAAAAAAAATAAAGGTCGTGAAAATAATCGTCGTAATGATTCAAAATCTAATTATGTTTTGCTATATAATTAGCGCTATAATGATAAACGAGAATATCGATATTTTGTATCGAGTTGACAATTACAGAAAAATATTTTTGTACGGATAACGATGCAGCAAATCAATGCGTGTAAGATTCTGTAGATCTGTATATATACGTTAAAATCTACTGAATCATGTCAACATGCTATTATAATGCTACCGCTTGTCGGGAGTTTCTTAATAAAATGTCGACGAACGCAGTTAACAAGATCGTTCGCGAAAAGTGTAACTTGACATGAGAAAGAAAAGGGATATAATAAAATATAAAAACAAAGAACTACAAACAAAAAAAAGGAAAGCAAACAAGAAAAGAAAATAAGTGGTAACAAAGAGAAAAAAAACAAAATGTGTAGAGAAAAGAAAACAGAAAAATTTAAAATAAAAAAATAGGAAATAAAAATTGGGAATAAAAATAAATATAAAAATTAAATTGCGGCGAAGGATTGAAGAATTTAGCGTAGGGCGAAATCTGATCACGGCGATGACAATTTTGCCACGTTCAATCGAACAAGTTCTCTCTCTCGCACGGAGGGCGGATACCGTCTCCTCCTCCCTTCCTCCGTCTCTTGCTCTCACTTTACACTCAAGTGTAACCGTTGCGAGGCCGACGGTACCGAACTTTCCGCTATGTACTTTCGACCGGTAGCAACGACCGGAATTCGCAATTAGTGTCGGGCGCTCGTTATACTTAGAATTAAATACAATGTCCGTTTCTGTGCTCCAAAATATTCCAACGTCGTATTAATAAATCTGTTCGTTCGAGCTTCTGTTTTTCTTCCATTTCTCTTTTTTCCTACATTTTTTCCTTAAGTTTGATATTTTATTGTAATGTATTTTGAACGGTTTTTACCTGTAACAATTATTATTGCGGTTATGTATATTGACTCTTACAATATTTCGTTGAAAATGGTCCAAAATATAACATCCCTTAACGGGGGGGGTCCCCCCTCCCCCTCCAACCCTTTACCCTTGCCATATACGACGCAGTTCCGACGATTCGGTGCGTTCCCCGCGGGAACGTATCTTCTCTCTCTTTCTCCCTCCTCCCCCTCTCGCTATCGTCTCTCTCTCTCTCTCTCTCTCTCTCTCTCTCTCTCTGTCCGCGGAGATAATCGACCGGTGAGAGAATTCGATCGGCAGAAAAGAGGAAGGAAATTCCCGTATCAATATCCGTAATCATACGTCCAGCTGTTGACAGCGTGTCTCCCGCCTATGTGTCGCGAGAGGAGGAGAAAGAGAAGAAAGATCTTTGTGATATGACATAAATGTTAAAAAAAACATCTGTAAGGAGACGTTTGATGCCCCGCAGGTGTCTTGAACGTTCCCTGGATCCTCGTGTCGATTGACGAAAAGACTACGAAAATGATACGGGGATGGGAAAGAGAAGAGGGGAAAACGAAGGGCAAAACGAGCACTTACCCGAACAGGTCCTCGAGGGGCGTGATGGAGGCCGATTCGCCACCGTAATACTTGTTGCGGTCGATGTGAAGCACTCGTTTACCGCTGACGGAGAGCATGCCCGAGAGGATGCACTCCTTGAGGCCGGTGCCGAGTACGATCGCGTCGTATTCCTCATTCATGTTCGCGCCGGGTTAGAGGTGCCGGATCCACGAAGAAGAAGAGGCAAGAGAGTGAAGGTAGGCGAGTAAGCTGTCGTGCGAACTGTCGCGCGGCTTACAAGCGGCCGTGTGTGTCTTGAACGTATGCGTTTCTTCCTCTTCTCGTCTCTCGCGATCCTCCTGCACACGAAGTCGAGAAAATTCGCGTTGCGCGATTTCTACGCGATACCAAACGACACGACACGATACGGCGCGAAACGGAAGGAAGACCAGCTCTTTCTCTTTTGCTACTCCGTGTCGACGGCGATGACGACGGCGGCGGTGGCGGCGGCGGTGACGGTGGCGGTCAGGCGGTGGCAGTGACGGCGGTGACGTCCAACTTTTCCACTAGGCTGCGTCCCGCGTTGCGAAGAGGCACTAAAGCTGGACACAGCACGGTATACGTAACGTCAAGTATTTTTATGTCGATTCTAAATGTCAACGATGATTCTCCGTTCTGTGACGGTCAGTGCGTTATTGCTCCATTTGATGTGCATGAAAAAAAAAAAACGAAGTTTTACAGTTTTTTATCTCGTGTCCCTGAAGGATTTATAACGCTTATCTCGTCGTTTATTGGTCGGTACGATAAGAATGGTGGAATTCAAATTTCCAACATTATTACATGTAATTTTACAATCGATTATCAAAGTGAAGAAATTCCGTAATAAAAAAGCAAGGTTAAAAAAATAGTTCAAAATTTATATTAATTATTAATTTCTATTAATAAATCTAAATTAAATAATATTATATACATGGAATCACACAATTTAATCGTGTGTGATAACCGACCAACATTTTTCGACATAACGAATGACATACCAACCAATAATCCAAACAATCGAATTCTGTATCAACTATTATTTCTTGTAAACTTGCCTAGTAACATTTCGCGTTTCGTCGCATCGCAGGGCTATTTCTCTTTATTGCTTGCATTCAGTCACCAACAGAAAGCGCTAATTTCGCGACCAACTCTCGACGGACGCACAGACATCTTTAATATATAAACGTCTATGGACGAACACGGTGTCAAGTGCGATAGGGGGAAAAAAATCTCTCCGACAGGACTTGCGCATGCGCGAGTTATGTCATTAAACACCTGACTGGCTTTAGCAGATTCGTGCTAAGATGTTACGACCTTTTGCTGGGGCCGTATAAATTATCATTACTTTTTCTTATAATTTATGCTAACAATATGCAACATCTATTAAACGCTGTATATTAAATATTACATGTGTATTAATACATATATTTAATATTTTTTTATTTCCTTTTTGCGAGAACCCTAATGACATCCTTCATTGTACGAAATATATGTACATGTGATTTATTATTAGGCGTAACAGCGTCTGCTAGCGTTCGCGCTACTACGCATGCGCGGAAGATTTGTCCCTCCAACACTGCGCGGCGTGTTGGTCGGTTCAAGTTGTCAGTACGTGTACGGCGATAAGCTGTGTCGTGTCGTCGGCCTATCGAGCATATCGGAGCAACCGTTTAGCGACGCGCTCTCATTATCAGCCGCGGTCGAATCGTACGCGATAAAGATAACGCGCTCGCGAAACTCTAGCGCTCGTAGTGAGGTCTCTCGGCGATGCGCGAATTTTGAAAGCGGGCCAAATATAAAGAAAAACGACGCGGAGCAGACGCGAACCGAAGACGCGATCGCGTAACGTACTCAATGTGCTCGCGCCTTTTCGCCCCACGGAGAAGAGATCGCGGATTGATGATTCTCGCGCCGCTACCTACCTCCCGTTCGTGACTCATTCTTCGTCACCGATTCCCTTCGAGTTTCCTCGTCGATAGGGATCGCCGACTTTTCCGACGCGCGACGGAGATGTGAACTCGACGCGACGAGTTCGGGGGGAGACGCCATCCGTTTTAAACGAGGCCACGTGGACCACGTCGGGAGCCAGGAAAAATGTGAGTCTATTCTTTCTTCTACTTTTTCCCTCTCTCTCTCTCTCTCTCTCTCTCTCTCTCTCTCTCTCTTCCGCGTTGTGATCGCAGGCGCAAACGCGCCAACTTTTTCCTTCCTCGGAGCGACGTCTTTCTTTGGGAAAGTTAGCTGTGCAATAAAAACGTTTTTTTTTTTATTCACGAGCGATCGCGGAATTTCTTCAGGATGGGAAATGGAAGATCGAAGAAGCGGGATGATTTCGATACAAATTTGGAAAAGTCGCGATCGAAATTATATCGACGAGAAAAAATCAATTTGGTTGGTCGGATGAGATTTATAGGCCATGTAAAAAAAGTGAAAGGGTTTTAATGAGAATTGCGTGTTAGAGAAAGATTCGATTAACTAGGATCACGTCGAGTGATATTTAATTTCGCAAAGGGAAACGAGAGCACAAAGATTTGAGCGATTTTCAAGTGCGATATCGGACTGCGATGCCCTTTAAATTCAATTTAATTTAAAAATATTCGCGTTGAAACGATTAAAAAGATAAAGAGCCAGGGAGAAACACAGTTTGCAGCGTCGCAAAGTATAACGGTTAATTCGCAACTGAATGCAACCGCGGAAAATTGCCCTCCGACTGTTAGCAGAAAGACACCGTTTCGCCTAAATTGACTCTACCGGTGGTTGAGATAATCCTGCGTCATACTCAGACGTATTCATCTGCCTTTATATATAAAATAATCTTCTATAATTTTAAGACACGCCATATAATTCGGAATATTACACGATATAACACACAAACATTCACTAATACAAGAAAATAAAATATAAAACAGTATACTTTATGCCGCCCCTCAATGAAAAGAGAGAGACGCAATAAAATATGTAATTCAATAAAGTCAACATGCACGCATACATATTATAACGCTATGATAAATGTGATACACAGAAAGAGAGATTGCGCTCTCCATTTGGAGAATGTCAGGGGTTTAACTTTGCATCCCTCATTTCGCAATATTTGCGTTTCGAGTAGAAATGCCAGCCTTATCACTTCCCAAGAGGCGACGTTTTGTCGATTTCTTTCATCATGACGGGGCGAAATACAGACGAATAATATTACATTTAATTTCGTCCAAATAAAGGTCGATGCTGTATTCCGTTGGGATTTCAGTGGATTTCGAGAGAGAGGAAGAGAAACAGAAAGAAAGAGAGAGAGAGAGGATGTCACACACGCACATACACATGTCATGTCTTATTCATAATTTAATCATGTTACGTACACGTAGATTCGACATCATCCGGCATTTGTGCGCTTATCGCAGCCGCTCGCTATCAGCGAGCTGATTGACACGAAGAAATTTGCGATACTACCTAAGTCATATCGAACACCTTTTAATGCGTGTCTTTATATAATAAATACGCGTCTAGCTTTAAATATAAATGTTTATTTGGACGAAATTAATACGATAGAAGAATGTAAGAATTATAATCATGGCTACTCTCCCAAAATTCAAATTTTATAGATTATTAATTGAGATTATATACTTTTTTTGCGAATATTGTTAATCTTATCTAATGATGTTTCAAATAGTACTATATAATTCATCGAGCAGCAGCTGCGTGACATCTCTTTAAAGGATAACGCGATTTTAGTAAATACATCATTTTCACTCGTCGTGGGAGACGTTTCAAGAATCCTATATGGTTTCCGTTGTGTTTTCTATAAAAGAGGGATTATATTACACACATCTGTTGCGTTTATTTCGGCGTTGATCAAACAACATTACTTTTAACGCGTTAACCAAGAAAACGGGACGAATAAATCTCCTCGCGTTATCATTTCGAATATCGCGATAATAAAATGGCAAAAAATAAACGTCTTATAAGTTAGCGGAACAGAATGAGCAGAATCAATTCTAATTAATATTTTTATTTGTTGTTTTTTTCTGTTGGTTTACTCTTGTAAGTTTGCACGCTGTGCGGCTTTCCGGCATTATTTATACTTATTTCGTAAGCAACAAATTCGGAACTTGCATATTTCGAGAGCAACAAATTAGCAACAAATTCTTATATTATTGTTATGTACAATTTTGTTGCTATATATATATTGTTCCGCTAACTTAATCTTCCTTTAGCGGAACATCATTTTTTTTAAAAACTTACAGAGCAACAAATTTTTTTTTTTGGCAACTTTTTAGCAACAAATGAGCAACAAATAAAAATATTAATTAGAATTGATTCTGCTCATTTTGTTCCGCTAACTTATAAGACGTAAAAAATAAACCAGTGAGCCGTCTTTGATCTCAGTTTGTAGATTATTTAGAACGTTTTCTTGTTTACTTCAGCCAAATTCTTTGACGAATTTTTCTTCAAGGGGGGCTTCGTTTCTTCGAGAGAGAGAAAAAAAAAGGTTATCAGAAAAATCTAGATCGTCTGAAAAATTCTGTCGATTATCGGCACCTTCATCTCGGGGCGTTCCGGATTGTAAAGAAATGCTGAATCATCCTCTTGAAAAGATTTGAATGCTTTGAAAAGCTTTGATCGATACACCGACGTATTCGTGATGATACGATGATCTTTGCGGAAAATGATCTCGGATAAAAAAAGCCCAAAGGGAGGAGTCTCGATAATCGACAAGAAATCGGCGAGGCGATATCGTAATTTTCTTTAACTGCACCTCCAATCGTCCTAATGATAGCGAACGACGCGATAATGAAGCGCGTTAGAGCGCTCAGGAGTAAACAGGTGACCCAATTTAATAGCTCGATTTTTTCTACCCTTGATATATTCACTCCGTTCGTTTACATTCGACCGATAGCGATTTGCGCGCAAAGAGAAGGGTGCCCGCAGCACATCGATCGTCGTATACCGGAATCTCGTTTATCGCAACCGCACGCACACACGATCGGGCGTGCTCACTGACGCGTGTGTACACGCGTGTGTGCCCGATACACAAACGGCGGTAAACCGTGACACGTATTCCGTCCCGTGCGTCTTTGAGATCGAACCAGGCCGATATCGTTCGAGCGAATTAAATCTTCAGTAAAAATAATAGAGAAATGATAGAGAATATTAGGATGTCGTTAAAAAATATGAATCTTTTCCAAAGATTTTTTTATTAAGATTAAATTAAATTGATTATACTGTATAATAATAATATATATTTTCCTGGGGGGAAATTTTAAGGCAGCATGGATTAAGGAAATAATAGATCTTCCCACCCCTGATACAACTCCTGAAGCAGAAAGAAAAAGTTTGCAAGAAAAATGTGAATTGGAAGATTTCAATGAAGAACATTATATGGCAGATCTTATGGAGCCAGAATGTACCGAATCATATATAGCGTATACAGCAGAATGGGATATGCTGCAGAAAGACAAAGTTACATTTAGCGAAGCTGAGATTGATCTATTAAAAGATCTTCCAAATAAGGAATATTTATTAGATGCTGAAGATATAAAAAAGTTATGTTTAAATCTTATTGATATTTTATATGCCAGTTGTTACAACCATCGAACTACATTAGGAGAAAATACTGTAGAAAGCAGTTGGACCATTAATAAGCTAAGCTCTACATTATGTTGGTTCCAAGTATGTTTATTAATTAGTGATGATGTCTCTTTTGTGAAAAGGTATCTAAAAGACTAATCTATCAAATATTTTCAGAATTTTACTTCTGTGGATGAAGTTATTACTGCATGCTTCCGAAGATCACTTTGTTATCCACTTTACAGAAATTGGGAGCTTTCTATGAAAGTTTTCGAAGATGTTAAAAAAGCTCTCACATTAGGTCAGTATAAATTGGGATATGTTAGGATAACTGTTTCTCTTGGTAAGTTTTTACTACTTTAAACATTTTTATGTACATGCAGGAAAGAAATATATTATCAAAGTCTTCTGTGAAATACATAGTCTTTTTAACAACTCGTATGAACCAAGATACATATTAAACCAATTATACATAAAGGACTTTTTAATTTGGCTGCAAGCATCTCCTGAATCATTAATAGAACCACTTCACTCTATGTTAAATAATGTAAGTTAAAAAAAATTATATTTATAATATACTTATTTAGCATTTCTATTATTTTCTTTATATCTAAATTTTTATTATCTTATAAAGATTCATCCAAGCAAAGCAAGCATGGGATTGGATTTAGTAGAACTGGAAGTGGCAGCTTATTCTGTTCAAGAAGAGGGACTTGTTATAGAAAATGCTGTTCATGAGATGGTTGGACAAATCGATGAATTGTGTTTAAATGATTCTGAGAAAGAAAAGTAAGTACAGAGTTAATATTTTATAAAGTTTCTCGAATTTTGTCTTCATATTTTATATACTCTATAATTTTGTTTTAAAGGCCAAAGAATATATATCATGTTAACAAACAATTTTTTAAGCATTTGTAAGTATTTTTATATATATTTGGTTTGATTGTTAACAGCTGTCTTTAATATATGTGTGTGTTTAACATTGCTAACATTTATTCTTTGTGTATTATTTCTAATATTTATCTAATATTCACATTTAACTTATATTATCTTCATGATGTGTAGATGATATCTAATTTTTTTGATTACATGTTACATAATAACTAATACTCGACATAATATAATCATTGCTCTAAAAAAAAAAAAAAAAAAAAAAAAAAAAATACGAAGTAGTAAATAACATATTTTCTTAAAATTATATCTCTAATTCGGCAATATCACATGCATACATAATTTATTTTTAATTTAGGAAAGTTTCAAATTTTGCTTAATTGTATAAAATGCTTACTTTTATGAAAATATTATTTTTGTAAAAGGGAAAAATGACAGTTACTGTTTCACCTTAGAAGATAAGATCTGATCGGGATAAAGATCGGTGACTAGTAGAACGCTTCAAGAACAAAGTAAACAATTTCTACATTAATTGAAGTCGACTTGATATACATATATGTTTAAAAGCTCATCGATCGCATCAATGTAACGTTATTTTTGTATCGTGTTGTAATTATCCGAGATATTGAATTATCCGAGGTTATTAACGTCAGCAAGAAATCAGAAAGAAAAATAAATTCCATTCTTTGTGTGGAAATCGCAGTATTGATCGCCTATCAGAATTATCGGCAGATATATATTGGATGAAGGGCACGTTTTTTGTATCAGTCGCACAGATCAACGATAAGTGGTGTTTCGGTCTCTTGGTGATACAAACTTTTTTTATACATGCACAGGGGATGTATCTAATTTACTTTTCTTTAGATCTATCTTTGAAAGAATATTGAACTTTTATCATTTTTTGGGTGAGAAAACATTTAAAATTACTGATACCACTCTAATATAGAGATAATTCTGAATAGTTCTGAGATATTTCTGAGATATTTCTGATAGTTCTGAAAATAACATTAAGGTCGGAAGACCGAAAACAGTTGATTTCGCGTGAAAAAATAAATCAAATATGTAGAATAAAATTTTTTCGTACGGGGGTTTTGTTTCCGAGAAAATTGACTTTAAAAATTGGAAAATTTATAAAATTTATATTTACGCTTTTTTAAGCTTCAGTAATGATTAAGCTCTAATGACCTTGCATTATTGGATTTATCTCTCAATGGTAATTGTTAAAATAATTATAAAAAGATACAACATTCTTTCTACTGAAGAAATAAAGTTTATGTAGACATCTTCAATGACGAATTATTTAAAATTTTTTTACTAAATGAAATATTGTCGTTTTATTTTATATTTATGTATATATTAATAGTAGTTGTCGAGAGACGAATTCGATACAATGTCATTAGAGTCAATATCATTAATTCAAACCTGTAGACGTGTAAATATATTAATGTCTCAGACTCAATTTTCTCGAAAACAAAATCTAGTACAAAAATATTTTATTCTACATTTTCTTATATTATTTTGACACGAAGAATCATTTTTTTCTTGATTGTATATACTACATCTCCTGACCCTATATTTCTGAATGTTCAAAGATATTAGCACTTTGAGTAAGAATTCTTTTTCGATGACTGTTGCACAGTTTTCGCAGAAATAATCTATTTTAGTTAGTTATCTATACAGAATATCCGGTGTTGAAATTGTGATTAGTTGAAGACATATCTATATATATCGTATTTACTACAATTTGCACTATATCGAGAAATCTCGTATCTTTCTTTATCCGATAAGAGCGTAAAATGCGTAATCTCTAGTACAATAAAACGAACAGTGAGTTTCCACAAATCTAGATTTTACATTTAAATATCTATATTGTGTAGGAGCTTGTAAAATGTATCTCGTGCTTATTTTCGATTACGTATTGCGAAACTACCGGGAGGGAGTGTTTTCCATGTAATAGCCAATTAACTGGAAATTATCAAATATTTTATTCCGCCGTACCGCACTTTACTAATAAATCAGGCGGAGAATCAATGAAAAATAAACACTATCTATAACGAATAGGTTGTAAAAGAATCATAACAACTGTCCAATAAAATCGATTTAGTTAAATAATTATTAACACAAGTTTGTGTGACGAACGCATGACATGTGATATGTGACATCTGATTATGATATATGAGTGCTGCAAAGAGTGATATATTTGGAAACAGATATTATAAAATGTGCCAGTTTTGCACATTTATTTTTAACGAAGCAATTATTAACGCTTACATATTCGCGCAGATGGCGAAAGCTTAAAAATAAAATTTTATTATATACGAGTAATCTATAAAAATAATATTCTAATAGAGAAAGCAAGTATATTATAAAAATATATAAAAAATAAATTAACATCTTGACACATCAACTTTAATTTTTTTTTTTTGCCCAAATGTCAATTTTTTGATTTGTATCGATTTATTTAATTTCATGCCGCATAATAAGGAAATTGTACGATTGCGTCAAGTTTGCGATTATATGTGCGTCTTCTGTGTTTGAAAGGAATACACGCAATGCATGTATGATTGTTATTCCGGATATGTATAAACGCGTGATTCGTCAGTCGTGAGGATAAGCAAACGTCTGTCGAGAAGAATAATACGAACGGACGAATTTTGAACCTCAAACAGTTATACGTTTGGAACGAATTGGATATTATCGGAACGAGGGCGCGAATTATGGCGCCCAGGATAATCGAAGAAGATTGAGTACCTGCTATCTTGTCGATTCCAGAAATTTCAACTATAGTTGCGGCTAATGTGTACGGCAGAATATTACACACATCGACATGATTGAGAACCATACAGTTGATTATTAATTGAAAACTCATTATTCTTTAACGACATCAAATATAGACTAAAAATATAATACTTGGAAACATTTTATATCGAAGATAAAATTATTATTTATTAGTTACAATTCGGTCAAACTAAAGTCTTGAAGAGACTTTCTAAGACATGTGAAAGAAAGACAGAGGATTTAAATATTCCAAAATATAATAAAATTGAATAATAAATAAATAAATAAATAATAATTAAATTTTAATTAAATCTTCATTAAAGTAATTATATTATATATAAAAAAATTAATTAAAATCGAGATATTTCATCGCTAAAAGAATCAACCGATCTTTACCTGTGGAGTTTACTTCTGTCCATTTATTGTTTCATACGTTTACCATCTTTATTTTTGCACTGCGTATGTGCGTAGATGTGCCAGCATGTCCGAGGACGACGCGCAGGAAGCAGCCAGCGAGGAGATCGAAAGACAAGAGTCCCTTTACGTGTTCCCGGGTGCGGGCCACCCCAGCCGCGCGACGTCGTTATCGTCGTCGACATCGACGGCGCCCCTTCAGCCATCTCTGTCGTCTTTCCTCCACGGTGGCGACCACTTGACCACGACAAACACGACGATGACCACCAACACTACGATGATGGCGTCCACGTCAACGAAGATCAGCAACGGCGACGAGGACGAGGACGCCGTAGAGGAAGTTACCTCGCCGGCCAGAAGAAGACCCCTGCCGAAGACGCACGCGAGATCGGCGAGCCATGGCGGTGTTTTGGCGGATTGCACGACCGGGCGACAAACCTACGGATCTTTTCTGGGCCCGTTGACGACTGTGGGAAGTGCCACGTCCGCGGGTCGACCGTCAGCGCTGAAGAAGCCGGGTCATCAGAGAGCCTTCAGCCAGGGTCAGGTGGCGGACGTGACGCAAGGCCAGTCGGCCGTAACGGGACACCATCGCGTCGGCTCCAGAACGGACTTCATCTTGCCGCCGGGCCACAGGGAAGAGGGCAGGCCGCCTACTGCCGGCAGAATGCCTTCCTTTCGCGGTCATTCTCGCCAAGCGTCCAGGTACGAAATGACATATGGGATGCGATTTATCATTGTTTCAAATGATAAAGTCGATCGTGGACAGAATCGGATAACAGTACATTAACAGCGGATAATATCTAAGAGAAGCTAATATAATACACGCTATTAATATTAATATGCGAAATTTAAAGACATAAATAAAATGCTTTTTAATACTTTATATTAAAATTTGGATAGAATTCTTTCTTAATTTTATGCATCGTATAACGAAGAAATATTTCAAGAATCTTTGACACACATCAGACAATAGAATTAAAAACAGAAAATTTTTTCTCTCCGTCACATGATTATAAGTAGATAGTATAAAGTTTGATGTATTTAAAATGGTTATTTATTAAAATTGTTGATAATTTATATTTTTATATCGATAATATTAATATACCCCGATATCGCTTGTCATGAAATACCGATCACTTGATCAAATTACATACTGTCTCAATGAGATCACGAATTTTTTTTTTTAAAATTAAATTACGATATTTTTTTCTATAAATATGATATTTCAGGCATAACACAGTATTAAAGGCGCAAACTATGCCGCGATTGTTCGCAGATCGGAGTCTATCTATACGATAAGACGTAGCGTCGCGCCCCCCTGGTGGAGGAGACTATGGGCCCATTGTTTCGGTCCATTGCCGGAGGAGCCCCGTCTAAGGACAATAGTGCCGAATCATTTAGTCTCTCCGAAAACACCGAAGAGTCAGCATCCCAATGGAAATAGGGCGGATAACAGGTAAGGGAGAGAGAGGCATGTGTGCGACAAGATTGACTTGAATGGAATGATCAGCTCGCACGTCTCACGATGTCATACACGTTTCAGGGTACGCACAACAAAGTATACGGCGCTGAGCTTCCTACCTCGTAACCTGCTGGAACAGTTTCACCGCGTGGCCAATCTGTACTTCATTTTCATCGTTTTGCTCAATTGGGTACCGGCTATAAATGCGTTTGGCAAGGAAGTCGCTATGATCCCCGTCATATTCGTTCTGGGGGTTACGGCGCTTAAGGATTTCTTCGAAGATCGCCGGCGTCTCGCCAGTGACCGGCGTGTGAACAATTCCACCTGCCGCGTCTACGTTAGGTGAGTCGACGAACAAAATGCGACGTTACATCCGTCATACAGTGTGTAGCATAGAGTTGTAGAGATCGTTCGAATACAATCAGCTCCTCTTTTTCCCTGACCTCTCCTTCCTCCTCCCCTGTCTGACTTGCGCAAAAACACAGAGATAATGCAAGTTTTATGACTATCGTAAAAAGAGTTAATGTTGCGCGTCTCTCTCTCTCTCTCTCTCTCTCTCTCTGCGAATTGTACGTGGGAGCTGGGTAAAAGAGATGTTAGCGATCGAACGCGATAAAATGCGTAACATGACCGAATGATTAAGTTTCGACAGTTTCAATTTTCTTTTTAATAACGAAATAAATAATGCACGATAATTTTTTCTCTCTCCTCCTCTCTCTTGTATGAAGAATTGAATAGACATATTTAATATTTCAACCAGTATCGACCTTGCTCGTTTATCCTTGCTAGTTTACCACGCCAGTCGTCGCTTCAGTTAGAATCCTTGCGGCAACGGAATCCAATAGATCGATTCCAATATAAGACCGACAATTCCAGGTATGTGGGTCACGTACAAATGCGAACGAACGGTCTGCATGCACGAGCGCGAACACGGAGAGGAAAGTGTCCGGTCTATACCGTTCTTTTTCCGCAAGAATACTCCGCGACGCGACGTTCTAGATTGTTGTTGATGCGACGCGATCACCAGCATTGTTTACGCTCGTAACGCCAGCCTTCAATTGATGCGCTCGCAGCATCGTCAACAACTGCCGCTTAATGTAACTCCATACAATATCAATACTACGTTTATTTCGTCGTTCGTGCATCCGAAATAGTCAGTGAACGATCGCTCGGAGAGGTTGCGTATATATAGTCACACATGCGCGCGATTGAACCGTAGATACAATTCGACGCGTGCGCCGATAAACGCGTATGTACATATGCCACGTGGTTTTTGATTGCAGCGCAACAAGAGGGAGGTAGATGTACGATTGAACGAGGGTTGAATGAACTCCGAAAACAATTGTCTCGCGATTTACAACCATCTTCGAGATAATAAGCGAGTCTATTATCGTTATAAAATTCGAATCTTCTAATTAATTTAAAATTACGTTTTATAAATTTTGTAAAAAAAGCAATTTCTCTCACTCTCTCTCTCTCTCTCTCTCTCTCTCGCATACCAATGAATAATTATATTTCGAGATCATGTTTTTTTTTAACTTGCAGAGTCACTTCAACTATTTAAAAAGATACTCGTGAAATAGAAAAAAAACTTGTAATTTTAAAGAATATATGATATTTTTGAAATCCTGTTCGCGAATTCATGTAAAAATTGACAGTTGGTTGATCCCGTGTGTCTCATATAAATGTAATCGAATTTATAGTCGGCCTGTCTGATCGTTCGTTCGTCGTTTCGATTATATGAATGTCGGCAGTTTTGGTCGTCACGAGTCTTCGTTCATAATGCAATGTAATTGGAAAGTTGATCGATGACCTGGCAATTCCGATACAGCGTATTGCTTCGGCAAAGATTTCGTGGATGACCTTGTCCTTCGTCGTGTCTCCTCGTGTCCCCTGGACGTCGATTCTCTTTCAATTTTAATTTAATATATTTGCCAATCATGCTCGCGAAAGATATCACCGAGAACTTTCTTTGACGATAACATTTCAGCTTGTTATCATTAAGATATCGTTGCAATTATGATGAAAAATATTATATTATTGTCACAATAATAAAATAATTATGCATTTTTAATTATTGGAATATATGTCGAAATATCTTATCAGATAGGAAAAATAGTTGCGGAACAATCGACAGGATCTTTGACGTGTTGCGGGGGCGCGCGACACATTACAGTTGATGCATTTGCGTGCTTTCAGTCGGGAAGGAACGATCGATTCAAAATTATGTTGTCGACGAGACTCGAGTCGCTAATCGCCCGCGCCTATCGTTTTCTAAACGCAACATATCTGCATAATGGTGCGAACGATTCCATTCTCTCTCTTTCTCCCTCTCTCTCCCTCTTGTACTCGCGGCCACAGGTCGATTGCAATCCGTCTCGTGCGCCGGAGACCTTGACATTCGCATTTGTTACCATTACCCCCTTTTTATCTCGTCTCACGCGGCGCGTGCCTCACAATCTGTCGATTCCGCTCGTTAAATTACCGCGACATATATTTCATCGCTATTATTCTCGCGTCTCGTCCACACCTGAAATGTCAACATTTTCGTAACCATCGACAGATAAGTCGAACCTGTTAACATTTCAGAGGAGGAATAGATTGTTCAAGTTTATTTGAACGTCATTAGGAATTACTTATATGATGATTCGATAAAAAAGTTTATCCATCTCAGTTAATAAACGTGAAAACCAATTTACGATGACTCTAATGGATCTAGGACGCGACTAGAGTTGCGAGTTAAATAGGAGGAAAATCTCTATCGGAATAAATATTGGAGGCGTCGCACGAGTCCACTAATCATCATACTTGCCTCGTCTATTTGACACCGATTGCGCGAGGCAGCTATTGGCCTTCGTTGAGTCACTTTCGTTATCATGACGCGGATCTCTGAAAGCGTTACAAACTAAAATCCGAAGCCTACTCAAAATTCCACTTTAGAAGTCCCTTTCTCCGAAAGAATCATCGGCGCGAAGCAAATATATCATCTTTTGCAACTCAAACAACTTTCAAGCGTCGTTCGCCAATCGCGGCAATAGCGCGTTCCTTCCAGACTTGTGTTGTAATATTCTCACATTACGTTGTAACGTGAATTTTCGGCACCGGGCCTGGCAAAGTACCCGGATAAATCCACTTCAATGAAAACTGAGAAGCTTCTCCGGTCTACTTCTTTCTCTCTTGCCGAGTTTTCAGAGTGCCGTTAAGCAGATGAGTGATGTCGTCATCGCTTATGTCATGTGAGAGAGCAATGTAAACGGGTGTAAATGTAATATTATGTGTGTACATCCGCTTGTGCATATTCTAGCCACTTTTACGAAACGCGTTGGAAGCCCTGAAATATCGGTGAGCGACTTGCAAATCCATACTTGTAAAGGCCGTTTCCTTATATGTACATTACGTAGGAAGTCCTCGATATAAATTATTCGGTGTAAAAGAGATAATTATAGATGCTCGAATAACATGTTTTAGCTACAAATAATCTCTTTTGTTACACTTATCATAAGGCAATATATGAGTTTCTTATGATATCTTGCATCAGATTCGAATGAATCTTTCTCGCGTAAAAACGTCGAGACACTATTTCAAACAATATTTTGATCTTTATATTTGTCTACCTGCTAAGTTTTAAAATTATTACTAAACAATTTTTTTTTTTTTTTGGCATTATTTTTAAATATGCTTTAATAATATTTTAATATACAAATTTTTAAAAAATTGTTTCTCTCTGAATGAGGATATTAGTTTCCAATAAATCAATAAATATTCCAACATGCTAAAGAATAAATGTACGATAAACACTTCACAAGTCTCCTGTGGTTTTTTGGCGATGTTATAGAGGCGTAACCATTTTAAGATCAACTTAGATGCCAAGAGATGCCAAACGTCGAAATGTTGAAAATCTTTTCACTTAGAAATATCACGAAAGTTACGCGAATTATGATAAGATTGTAATATAATGCGTGCAACTAGTAAACTATCCTTGACTCGTTATCTCTTGCTATGTGGTTGAAAACTTGTCCTGAAATTATTATGCGGTTAGAGCGATAGCAAATACGTACTGCCGCGGTATATACGATGCCTTTGATATTCTCTGGCATAACTGAGAAAAAGAACATTCAAAAGGTAGTAAACGACGAATAATTATGACGGATTAATTGCTCTACTTTAATACACCGTGCCGATACATAGTTATGTGTCATTTAAATAATCCACCGTGCGTGCATAAAAACCTGCTATTTATTGTTGGTCAATGTTCAGTAGCTATTGTTTTTGCAACATTATATTATACCTGGGGATAAATGATCTTGGAAGAGCCATGAGATAGATTTCTAGCCCGTTTCCAGTCTCGTTTCATCCGTATCATGCATTTACAAATATCATACAGCGATCGTTATAACGTCACCCGTAAATATACGTTTATATAAATATGCGTATATAATTGCATAATTAACTCGTGTATCCGCGTTACGTGCTGCGAATCCGTCGCAAGGCAACGACACGAATCCGCGATAAAATAGCCACACCTAATCGCGATAATACTAATGATACGATACGCGATGCATAATACATTTACGGCAATTCATTTCGATGTCACACTAAATGTGGCGAAAAATTGAACGATACAAAAGCAAGAATGACGCGTTTCTTACTTTGTATTATCCTCTGAGACAAACAAAAGAATTGATATTTGCATTATTTAGTCTCGTCTCTGCATGAGACGACCTTGTGACAGTAAAGTATTCTTTCTCGGTTCCTGAAATGAACGCGAATAAACAACGACTATTCCTCGTTCATCCCGTTCAAATGTCAAACGGCAAACAGCTGTTTGCCATCCTTTCGAGGAGTTCGCCCACGCGTTCGCCTCCGATAACTCGTCGTCTGAAATTCGTTCCGATCAAACGGGTGCGGACGTGACGTTCAAAGTCAACGCTTGCAATTGAAGGAAATATATCGCCAATCGCCGATTTCATCATAGCAGCTCGGAGAACGCTCGAGCGAGATGAATCTATCTTCTGAACACTTGAATTAGCTACTCAAGGTCACGCCTGTCGCGATCTGCCATTGCTTACAACTTAGAGAGTAATAAAAAATCACGTCATAGAGAGAGAATCCGAGTTTTCACAAGCGACTCCAGCAACTCGATTTCGTTCCGCATATATCAATATCTCATGTATTAATCTTTAATTGTTATTAGATAGAGAATCGTTTTAAATGTTTCCTAAATCTTTTGCGCGAATTATCGAATATTTTTAGCGCATTGTGTAATATTAAAGCTAATCATTTCGATTAAGAAAAATGACTGAAAGAATAACATATTGTCGATTTATTAATTTTTCATCGCGCTATTTATGATAAAGTAAGGTCAATTTTCTATTCCGATGCGTATACGTGGATTTCAAATGCTTATTAACGGATACATGTATCTCGCTGGGCTCGTTTCGGTCTTGATAAATATTTGCGTGTGTGTGTGTGTGTGTGTTTCGCGCTGTACAAAACTCTGTATAATATTCATTTTCGCGACATTGACGACAGCAGGGTAGCCTTATGAGTTCTTTTATGCAACGCGAGGATTTGTCGATTGTCTTACGTCAATCCCTTAAATAAGATTCTACAACTTTATTTGCCAGATATTTTTTCCTTTGTTCGTACAATAAAGAAAGTATAAATAATTGATTTAATCCCTTTCTGATCCTAATAATAGAATAATGGCATGCGTGCACGCGCATGTCGCAGTTACTTGATTAATTTACTGAAAACTGTAGAGTATTGCATAATATATTCAACACGTAATGGCCTAAGTTTATTAAGCTAAAATAAACTGCGTTCTGTTAAGTAAATATTTGCAGTCTCTTAGTTACATCCATCCTTGCAATTAAATCCTTATTGCAAAGTTATGCCGTAAATTGTAATTTACGTAATATTCGTAATTGCGAATCATGCGATAAAATTAGGAAGCGCCGCGGATGAAGTAATCTATTTACCGTACAAACTCTCCAATTATTTCGCACGATTACGAAAATGTAATTACCTTTTTCAATGTGGTCGCTTAAGTAATATTTAAAAGTAATGCCTCAGTTTCTTGACGAGAGATTTCTCTTGTGATTTCATTGTAGCGAAGGCGACAGATATATGAAGGTGGCGTGGAAGGATGTCAAGGTGGGTGACCTGGTTCACCTCTCAAACAACGAACTGGTACCGGCCATCTTCATTAAAGTAATTATATTATATATAAAAAAATTAATTAAAATCGAGATATTTCATCGCTAAAAGAATCAACCGATCTTTACCTGTGGAGTTTACTTCTGTCCATTTATTGTTTCATACGTTTACCATCTTTATTTTTGCACTGCGTATGTGCGTAGATGTGCCAGCATGTCCGAGGACGACGCGCAGGAAGCAGCCAGCGAGGAGATCGAAAGACAAGAGTCCCTTTACGTGTTCCCGGGTGCGGGCCACCCCAGCCGCGCGACGTCGTTATCGTCGTCGACATCGACGGCGCCCCTTCAGCCATCTCTGTCGTCTTTCCTCCACGGTGGCGACCACTTGACCACGACAAACACGACGATGACCACCAACACTACGATGATGGCGTCCACGTCAACGAAGATCAGCAACGGCGACGAGGACGAGGACGCCGTAGAGGAAGTTACCTCGCCGGCCAGAAGAAGACCCCTGCCGAAGACGCACGCGAGATCGGCGAGCCATGGCGGTGTTTTGGCGGATTGCACGACCGGGCGACAAACCTACGGATCTTTTCTGGGCCCGTTGACGACTGTGGGAAGTGCCACGTCCGCGGGTCGACCGTCAGCGCTGAAGAAGCCGGGTCATCAGAGAGCCTTCAGCCAGGGTCAGGTGGCGGACGTGACGCAAGGCCAGTCGGCCGTAACGGGACACCATCGCGTCGGCTCCAGAACGGACTTCATCTTGCCGCCGGGCCACAGGGAAGAGGGCAGGCCGCCTACTGCCGGCAGAATGCCTTCCTTTCGCGGTCATTCTCGCCAAGCGTCCAGGTACGAAATGACATATGGGATGCGATTTATCATTGTTTCAAATGATAAAGTCGATCGTGGACAGAATCGGATAACAGTACATTAACAGCGGATAATATCTAAGAGAAGCTAATATAATACACGCTATTAATATTAATATGCGAAATTTAAAGACATAAATAAAATGCTTTTTAATACTTTATATTAAAATTTGGATAGAATTCTTTCTTAATTTTATGCATCGTATAACGAAGAAATATTTCAAGAATCTTTGACACACATCAGACAATAGAATTAAAAACAGAAAATTTTTTCTCTCCGTCACATGATTATAAGTAGATAGTATAAAGTTTGATGTATTTAAAATGGTTATTTATTAAAATTGTTGATAATTTATATTTTTATATCGATAATATTAATATACCCCGATATCGCTTGTCATGAAATACCGATCACTTGATCAAATTACATACTGTCTCAATGAGATCACGAATTTTTTTTTTTAAAATTAAATTACGATATTTTTTTCTATAAATATGATATTTCAGGCATAACACAGTATTAAAGGCGCAAACTATGCCGCGATTGTTCGCAGATCGGAGTCTATCTATACGATAAGACGTAGCGTCGCGCCCCCCTGGTGGAGGAGACTATGGGCCCATTGTTTCGGTCCATTGCCGGAGGAGCCCCGTCTAAGGACAATAGTGCCGAATCATTTAGTCTCTCCGAAAACACCGAAGAGTCAGCATCCCAATGGAAATAGGGCGGATAACAGGTAAGGGAGAGAGAGGCATGTGTGCGACAAGATTGACTTGAATGGAATGATCAGCTCGCACGTCTCACGATGTCATACACGTTTCAGGGTACGCACAACAAAGTATACGGCGCTGAGCTTCCTACCTCGTAACCTGCTGGAACAGTTTCACCGCGTGGCCAATCTGTACTTCATTTTCATCGTTTTGCTCAATTGGGTACCGGCTATAAATGCGTTTGGCAAGGAAGTCGCTATGATCCCCGTCATATTCGTTCTGGGGGTTACGGCGCTTAAGGATTTCTTCGAAGATCGCCGGCGTCTCGCCAGTGACCGGCGTGTGAACAATTCCACCTGCCGCGTCTACGTTAGGTGAGTCGACGAACAAAATGCGACGTTACATCCGTCATACAGTGTGTAGCATAGAGTTGTAGAGATCGTTCGAATACAATCAGCTCCTCTTTTTCCCTGACCTCTCCTTCCTCTTCCCCTGTCTGACTTGCGCAAAAACACAGAGATAATGCAAGTTTTATGACTATCGTAAAAAGAGTTAATGTTGCGCGTCTCTCTCTCTCTCTCTCTCTCTCTCTGCGAATTGTACGTGGGAGCTGGGTAAAAGAGATGTTAGCGATCGAACGCGATAAAATGCGTAACATGACCGAATGATTAAGTTTCGACAGTTTCAATTTTCTTTTTAATAACGAAATAAATAATGCACGATAATTTTTTCTCTCTCCTCCTCTCTCTTGTATGAAGAATTGAATAGACATATTTAATATTTCAACCAGTATCGACCTTGCTCGTTTATCCTTGCTAGTTTACCACGCCAGTCGTCGCTTCAGTTAGAATCCTTGCGGCAACGGAATCCAATAGATCGATTCCAATATAAGACCGACAATTCCAGGTATGTGGGTCACGTACAAATGCGAACGAACGGTCTGCATGCACAAGCGCGAACACGGAGAGGAAAGTGTCCGGTCTATACCGTTCTTTTTCCGCAAGAATACTCCGCGACGCGACGTTCTAGATTGTTGTTGATGCGACGCGATCACCAGCATTGTTTACGCTCGTAACGCCAGCCTTCAATTGATGCGCTCGCAGCATCGTCAACAACTGCCGCTTAATGTAACTCCATACAATATCAATACTACGTTTATTTCGTCGTTCGTGCATCCGAAATAGTCAGTGAACGATCGCTCGGAGAGGTTGCGTATATATAGTCACACATGCGCGCGATTGAACCGTAGATACAATTCGACGCGTGCGCCGATAAACGCGTATGTACATATGCCACGTGGTTTTTGATTGCAGCGCAACAAGAGGGAGGTAGATGTACGATTGAACGAGGGTTGAATGAACTCCGAAAACAATTGTCTCGCGATTTACAACCATCTTCGAGATAATAAGCGAGTCTATTATCGTTATAAAATTCGAATCTTCTAATTAATTTAAAATTACGTTTTATAAATTTTGTAAAAAAAGCAATTTCTCTCACTCTCTCTCTCTCTCTCTCTCTCTCTCGCATACCAATGAATAATTATATTTCGAGATCATGTTTTTTTTTAACTTGCAGAGTCACTTCAACTATTTAAAAAGATACTCGTGAAATAGAAAAAAAACTTGTAATTTTAAAGAATATATGATATTTTTGAAATCCTGTTCGCGAATTCATGTAAAAATTGACAGTTGGTTGATCCCGTGTGTCTCATATAAATGTAATCGAATTTATAGTCGGCCTGTCTGATCGTTCGTTCGTCGTTTCGATTATATGAATGTCGGCAGTTTTGGTCGTCACGAGTCTTCGTTCATAATGCAATGTAATTGGAAAGTTGATCGATGACCTGGCAATTCCGATACAGCGTATTGCTTCGGCAAAGATTTCGTGGATGACCTTGTCCTTCGTCGTGTCTCCTCGTGTCCCCTGGACGTCGATTCTCTTTCAATTTTAATTTAATATATTTGCCAATCATGCTCGCGAAAGATATCACCGAGAACTTTCTTTGACGATAACATTTCAGCTTGTTATCATTAAGATATCGTTGCAATTATGATGAAAAATATTATATTATTGTCACAATAATAAAATAATTATGCATTTTTAATTATTGGAATATATGTCGAAATATCTTATCAGATAGGAAAAATAGTTGCGGAACAATCGACAGGATCTTTGACGTGTTGCGGGGGCGCGCGACACATTACAGTTGATGCATTTGCGTGCTTTCAGTCGGGAAGGAACGATCGATTCAAAATTATGTTGTCGACGAGACTCGAGTCGCTAATCGCCCGCGCGTATCGTTTTCTAAACGCAACATATCTGCATAATGGTGCGAACGATTCCATTCTCTCTCTTTCTCCCTCTCTCTCCCTCTTGTACTCGCGGCCACAGGTCGATTGCAATCCGTCTCGTGCGCCGGAGACCTTGACATTCGCATTTGTTACCATTACCCCCTTTTTATCTCGTCTCACGCGGCGCGTGCCTCACAATCTGTCGATTCCGCTCGTTAAATTACCGCGACATATATTTCATCGCTATTATTCTCGCGTCTCGTCCACACCTGAAATGTCAACATTTTCGTAACCATCGACAGATAAGTCGAACCTGTTAACATTTCAGAGGAGGAATAGATTGTTCAAGTTTATTTGAACGTCATTAGGAATTACTTATATGATGATTCGATAAAAAAGTTTATCCATCTCAGTTAATAAACGTGAAAACCAATTTACGATGACTCTAATGGATCTAGGACGCGACTAGAGTTGCGAGTTAAATAGGAGGAAAATCTCTATCGGAATAAATATTGGAGGCGTCGCACGAGTCCACTAATCATCATACTTGCCTCGTCTATTTGACACCGATTGCGCGAGGCAGCTATTGGCCTTCGTTGAGTCACTTTCGTTATCATGACGCGGATCTCTGAAAGCGTTACAAACTAAAATCCGAAGCCTACTCAAAATTCCACTTTAGAAGTCCCTTTCTCCGAAAGAATCATCGGCGCGAAGCAAATATATCATCTTTTGCAACTCAAACAACTTTCAAGCGTCGTTCGCCAATCGCGGCAATAGCGCGTTCCTTCCAGACTTGTGTTGTAATATTCTCACATTACGTTGTAACGTGAATTTTCGGCACCGGGCCTGGCAAAGTACCCGGATAAATCCACTTCAATGAAAACTGAGAAGCTTCTCCGGTCTACTTCTTTCTCTCTTGCCGAGTTTTCAGAGTGCCGTTAAGCAGATGAGTGATGTCGTCATCGCTTATGTCATGTGAGAGAGCAATGTAAACGGGTGTAAATGTAATATTATGTGTGTACATCCGCTTGTGCATATTCTAGCCACTTTTACGAAACGCGTTGGAAGCCCTGAAATATCGGTGAGCGACTTGCAAATCCATACTTGTAAAGGCCGTTTCCTTATATGTACATTACGTAGGAAGTCCTCGATATAAATTATTCGGTGTAAAAGAGATAATTATAGATGCTCGAATAACATGTTTTAGCTACAAATAATCTCTTTTGTTACACTTATCATAAGGCAATATATGAGTTTCTTATGATATCTTGCATCAGATTCGAATGAATCTTTCTCGCGTAAAAACGTCGAGACACTATTTCAAACAATATTTTGATCTTTATATTTGTCTACCTGCTAAGTTTTAAAATTATTACTAAACAATTTTTTTTTTTTTTTGGCATTATTTTTAAATATGCTTTAATAATATTTTAATATACAAATTTTTAAAAAATTGTTTCTCTCTGAATGAGGATATTAGTTTCCAATAAATCAATAAATATTCCAACATGCTAAAGAATAAATGTACGATAAACACTTCACAAGTCTCCTGTGGTTTTTTGGCGATGTTATAGAGGCGTAACCATTTTAAGATCAACTTAGATGCCAAGAGATGCCAAACGTCGAAATGTTGAAAATCTTTTCACTTAGAAATATCACGAAAGTTACGCGAATTATGATAAGATTGTAATATAATGCGTGCAACTAGTAAACTATCCTTGACTCGTTATCTCTTGCTATGTGGTTGAAAACTTGTCCTGAAATTATTATGCGGTTAGAGCGATAGCAAATACGTACTGCCGCGGTATATACGATGCCTTTGATATTCTCTGGCATAACTGAGAAAAAGAACATTCAAAAGGTAGTAAACGACGAATAATTATGACGGATTAATTGCTCTACTTTAATACACCGTGCCGATACATAGTTATGTGTCATTTAAATAATCCACCGTGCGTGCATAAAAACCTGCTATTTATTGTTGGTCAATGTTCAGTAGCTATTGTTTTTGCAACATTATATTATACCTGGGGATAAATGATCTTGGAAGAGCCATGAGATAGATTTCTAGCCCGTTTCCAGTCTCGTTTCATCCGTATCATGCATTTACAAATATCATACAGCGATCGTTATAACGTCACCCGTAAATATACGTTTATATAAATATGCGTATATAATTGCATAATTAACTCGTGTATCCGCGTTACGTGCTGCGAATCCGTCGCAAGGCAACGACACGAATCCGCGATAAAATAGCCACACCTAATCGCGATAATACTAATGATACGATACGCGATGCATAATACATTTACGGCAATTCATTTCGATGTCACACTAAATGTGGCGAAAAATTGAACGATACAAAAGCAAGAATGACGCGTTTCTTACTTTGTATTATCCTCTGAGACAAACAAAAGAATTGATATTTGCATTATTTAGTCTCGTCTCTGCATGAGACGACCTTGTGACAGTAAAGTATTCTTTCTCGGTTCCTGAAATGAACGCGAATAAACAACGACTATTCCTCGTTCATCCCGTTCAAATGTCAAACGGCAAACAGCTGTTTGCCATCCTTTCGAGGAGTTCGCCCACGCGTTCGCCTCCGATAACTCGTCGTCTGAAATTCGTTCCGATCAAACGGGTGCGGACGTGACGTTCAAAGTCAACGCTTGCAATTGAAGGAAATATATCGCCAATCGCCGATTTCATCATAGCAGCTCGGAGAACGCTCGAGCGAGATGAATCTATCTTCTGAACACTTGAATTAGCTACTCAAGGTCACGCCTGTCGCGATCTGCCATTGCTTACAACTTAGAGAGTAATAAAAAATCACGTCATAGAGAGAGAATCCGAGTTTTCACAAGCGACTCCAGCAACTCGATTTCGTTCCGCATATATCAATATCTCATGTATTAATCTTTAATTGTTATTAGATAGAGAATCGTTTTAAATGTTTCCTAAATCTTTTGCGCGAATTATCGAATATTTTTAGCGCATTGTGTAATATTAAAGCTAATCATTTCGATTAAGAAAAATGACTGAAAGAATAACATATTGTCGATTTATTAATTTTTCATCGCGCTATTTATGATAAAGTAAGGTCAATTTTCTATTCCGATGCGTATACGTGGATTTCAAATGCTTATTAACGGATACATGTATCTCGCTGGGCTCGTTTCGGTCTTGATAAATATTTGCGTGTGTGTGTGTGTGTGTTTCGCGCTGTACAAAACTCTGTATAATATTCATTTTCGCGACATTGACGACAGCAGGGTAGCCTTATGAGTTCTTTTATGCAACGCGAGGATTTGTCGATTGTCTTACGTCAATCCCTTAAATAAGATTCTACAACTTTATTTGCCAGATATTTTTTCCTTTGTTCGTACAATAAAGAAAGTATAAATAATTGATTTAATCCCTTTCTGATCCTAATAATAGAATAATGGCATGCGTGCACGCGCATGTCGCAGTTACTTGATTAATTTACTGAAAACTGTAGAGTATTGCATAATATATTCAACACGTAATGGCCTAAGTTTATTAAGCTAAAATAAACTGCGTTCTGTTAAGTAAATATTTGCAGTCTCTTAGTTACATCCATCCTTGCAATTAAATCCTTATTGCAAAGTTATGCCGTAAATTGTAATTTACGTAATATTCGTAATTGCGAATCATGCGATAAAATTAGGAAGCGCCGCGGATGAAGTAATCTATTTACCGTACAAACTCTCCAATTATTTCGCACGATTACGAAAATGTAATTACCTTTTTCAATGTGGTCGCTTAAGTAATATTTAAAAGTAATGCCTCAGTTTCTTGACGAGAGATTTCTCTTGTGATTTCATTGTAGCGAAGGCGACAGATATATGAAGGTGGCGTGGAAGGATGTCAAGGTGGGTGACCTGGTTCACCTCTCAAACAACGAACTGGTACCGGCCGATCTTTTGCTTCTGAGAAGCAGCGATCCTCAGGGATTAGCTTATCTCGATACGTGCAACCTTGATGGTGAGTCAAATCTGAAGCAGCGTCAGGTTGTCAGGGGTTTCCTCGATCTGCAGGATACTTTCCAGCCTTCCAAGTTCCGGTCGGTGGTCGAGGTCGATCAGCCAAGTACTAGAATATATAGGTGAATACGTACGCGATAATTTGTCATGTTCACAATGTATTAAAATCAACTCTCTTAAATACCCATCATTTTTAGAAATTTTCCCATAGAGTTCGGATAAAAAAAAAGAAAATATTTCTTAACGTGAATATAATTCACGTTTCTTTCAATATAAAATTTTGTTTTTTACGATTCATTCCAAAAGCGCTTATCGCAACGGTATTTATCGGCGCGATAACCAGTTTATAAACTAGGAATTAACCGGATTACAAGTGATCCTACTAAATGCGTCTATCAGGTTTCATGGCGCCGTATTGCATCCGAACGGTGGCAGGGTGCCCGTGTCTACGGAAAATCTTTTGCTCAGGGAATGCGTTTTAAAGAATACTAACTTCATCGAGGGTATAGTCATATACGCCGGTCATGAGACTAAAGCGTTGCTGAACAACGGTGGACCCAGGTACAAGGTAAAAAAATGTTTAAGAAAACAATAACTAAATTAACAATTGAAATAATTAACAGAGTGAATGGATTCTTCGAGAATAATTATAATTTTTTTTTTTATTTTGTAAAGAAAAAGAAGATAATCTTCCCTGAATATTTTTCGAGCTATGTAAAATGATTTTTGGATATGACTAACAATATAAGTGTCTAAAAAGATATATAAGAATAATTTCAAAATCTTTGAAATGCTTTTCTGTAAAATCACTTTTTCTTTTTCTTGAAAACTACTGATCCGATTGTTTTCATCTGTTCAGAGAAATATAAATTACGATTTGATCGTTCAGTTTAAATAAATTGTAATATTATAAAAAGTTACGAATGATCAAAATCGCTAAAAAAAAAGTTGATTTCATTCAACTATTTTGTAAAGAAAAAGAAGATAATCTTCCCTGAATATTTTTCGAGCTATGTAAAATGATTTTTGGATATGACTAACAATATAAGTGTCTAAAAAGATATATAAGAATAATTTCAAAATCTTTGAAATGCTTTTCTGTAAAATCACTTTTTCTTTTTCTTGAAAACTACTGATCCGATTGTTTTCATCTGTTCAGAGAAATATAAATTACGATTTGATCGTTCAGTTTAAATAAATTGTAATATTATAAAAAGTTACGAATGATCAAAATCGCTAAAAAAGTAGATTTCATTCAACTATTATTAAAATTCAAAAAAAGCTCATTCAACAAAAAGCATCGATCAAAATGTCAAAAGTCAAACATATGCGAAAGAAAGTACAAAACTAAATTATTCAGATATGTTAAACACGAGTGTTGAAAAAAAGAAACTTAAAAATAGATGCTATATGATTTCGTATAATTAATCAAATCCTTCTTAAACAAATAGATAGCATAGATAGATAACACAAAAAGTACCTCCAACGCGCAGATTTAAACTTTTCCTGATGTTACGCAATATGATTTCAGCGTTCCCGTTTGGAGAAGCAAATGAACAGGGACGTGAAATGGTGCGTGGTGATATTGTTGGTGCTGTGCGTGATTGGTGCATTCGGATGCCGATTCTGGTTGTCCGCGTACACGGGTTTGACGGTGGTACCGTTCCTGCCGGTGCTGCAGGAGCCGATCTACGAAAGCATACTGATCTTTCTGACCTACGTCATAATATTTCAAGTAATGATACCGCTGAGTCTGTACGTGACGATCGAGATGGCCAAGGTGGGACAGGTGTACCATATCGGCCACGATCCGGCCCTCCACGACACGGAAACCGGCCGGAAGGCGGAGTGCCGCGCGCTGAATATCACGGAGGAACTAGGCCAAGTGAGTACGGTAATTTATATTAAATGAATCTGCGCGCGCGAGGAAGAGTATTTTATATGATCGATATTATGAAAATTATACTTTCTCATTCATGTTAACATTTCTCTCTCATTGGTATTTCCAATTTAATTAGTATCCGTCACGTCGTATTATCATCTTTTGTATTTTTCTTTGCATTTTTTTTCTCAAACAAAAATATCCTATCGATATTTTTGTACATAACACATGCAATATATTTGGAAATTACTTGAAATTACTTGAATTACAGGTACAATACGTTTTTTCCGATAAGACCGGCACCCTCACGGAAAACAAAATGCTGTTCAGGCGATGCGCGATAGGCGGTCAGGATTATTCGCACATAGGCGACAATGAGAATTTGCTTCCGTGCTCGCGGCTTAAGGAGGACCTGCTCATAAGTACATTTCGACATCGCTTACAGGAATTTCTTATTGTCTTGGCCACGTGCAACACGGTTGTCGTAAATTCTCAACCGCATCACGATATTATGAACTCTAGCGGGGTCATCGAGGAACCTCAAAAGAATGGAACTGGCCCCACGAGGTTGGCACACGTTAGATTAAGAAATAAAAGAAATACAAAAATAAATTTATTACGTTTTGAAAAAAATGATTAATTAAACACGACAAATTTTTAATAAACAAATCAAATTTGTTATTATTTTTTTATCACATTGTCTCTGTCACATTGAGTTTAACGCTATGATATTTTACAGAATAACAGAGTTGGATACCAATTCATTTCCGACCGTTAATTCTCCGCCGGTACTGGTATCTCCGAGCAACAGAAATGTCCGCACCTTGTCTCCAGTATCACCTGTGATCAGTACGATAAATACGTTCGACGACACACCGAAATTTCCGTTTAAATTTTCCAGGTTGGTATAACGTTTAAATATACATGAAATACATGATATTTAACAGAGCAATTTCTTTTTCAGGCCAAAGTTGCTGAATGTAACATCGATATCGAGCCTAGGGATCGGTTTATTGGGCCGAAAACTTTCGCCGGACGGACAGAAGAGACGTACTCCGGACTCGAAAAACAGCGACGAGTTACTACAAAACCCAGCGATCTACGAGGCGGAGAGCCCAGACGAGTTGGCGCTGGTACACGCGGCGCGCGCTTATGACGTTAAGTTAGTGAAACGGACTCCTCGTAGTGCAATAATTTCTTTTCCGGACAAGTCGACGCTCGCATTTGAGATACTTCACGTAAGTTGTGAGCGGATAAGAATAATTCGAAAACGACGGAGTGTTCAGTTAACCGATTGTTATTCTTTGACCGCTTGCAGGTGCTGCCGTTTGATTCGAATAGGAAGTGCATGTCGGTATTGCTCAGGCATCCTCACACCGGCGAGATAGTGTTATACAGCAAGGGCGCCGACACAACGATGCTGCCAGCGTTGTCGCCGGGTGACGAGAACACCGTCGCCTCGGCGAGTATTCGACAGTATCTGCAGTCGTATGCGCGTCAAGGGTTGCGTACCCTAGTGATGACAAAGAAGACATTGACGTCGCAGGAGTACGAGATGTGGCGAGAGAAACACAACGAGGCGGAACTGGCGACGGAGAACCGTGAGCGTCGCATGCGCGATTCATACGCAACACTGGAGTCGCATTTAACGCTGCTGGGAGCGACCGGCATCGAGGACAAGTTGCAAATCGGCGTGCCTGAGACAATGGCCGCTCTGGTCGCCGCCGGGATCGTCGTGTGGGTTCTGACAGGTACGTAGAAAGACTCGCATGCGCAAAACCGGTTTAACATTGGCGCGCGCGCATTATTTAATTTAACAGTTATCGTGGAGAAATATACGATGGCGTTTCACGTCAAATCATAAATGGATTTCCTCGTAGTCAACCTTCCGTCTATGTGCATTATATTACGTAAACAACGTTAAATAAAAGATTATGAGAAAAAAAATTATGTAGGCGAATATGTATCGATGATAAAATAGACGTTTTTCGAAACCACGTTCTTGTGCGTAATTAACACGTGCTAATGTCAAAGCAATTATACGACTTCGTGTCATATACACATGTGTTCGCTTTTACGGTTTCAGGGGATAAGCCGGAGACCGCGGTGAACGTAGCATATTCGGCGCGGCTCTTCTCGCCGGCCATGCAGCTGCTGCAGCTGCAGGCGAGATCGAAATCCGTTGCCGAGACGCTCATACGCGGCTATTTAGATTCGGCATGCAAAGAGAGCGCAAACAATAGCCATCCGCAACAACCAAGCATAATGGCGGGTATTGCGGATTCCGTTGACGTGTATCCCAATTACGATTCCATCGAAAGAGACGCCCATAGAATCGACAGTTCGTGGCCACGGCAACGTGCGCTCGTCGTGGACGGTAAGACGTTGACCGTGATCCTGGATCCGCGATCGGGCCTGACCGGCCCGTTCCTCGAACTCACGAAAACGTGCTCCAGCGTCTTAGCCTGCCGCGCCACGCCGTTGCAAAAGGCAAGAATAACGTTATGCCGACAATAATGAAAGATTGTGAATAAACTCGAGACAAGTTTTCTAACTATAATAGCAATCTAGCAGTTAATTAAAACACTAAGGAGTACTAAAGCGCGATTAATTCTACGTTATAGGCATACATAGTTCGCATCGTTAAAAAGCAATTAGGAATGAGAACGTTAGCGATCGGCGACGGCGCAAATGACGTTAGCATGATACAGACTGCTGATGTGGGTGTCGGTATCTCAGGACAAGAAGGTACGCAGGCGGTGATGGCGGCGGATTTCGCGATTTTACGATTTTCCATGCTCAGCCGGCTCCTCCTTCTGCACGGGCACTGGTGTTACGACCGTCTCGCCAGAATGATTTTGTATTTCTTTTACAAGAATGCAACTTTTGTCTTCCTCGTGTTCTGGTTTCAGGTGAGCGTCGCGAAGAACGAAGAAGAGAATAATTATTGAAGAAAAATTAGCAATTTTATTTTATTTAATTAGTAATTTTAGCTGACAAATTTATGTAGATGTTTCTCAAATATGTGTAATAATATATGTCTATTCTTTTTCTTGCAGTTGTATTGCGGTTTCTCCGGTGCCGTAATGATAGATCAAATATATTTAATGCTATACAACTTGCTGTTCACTTCGCTGCCGCCTCTAGTTTTGGGCATTTACGATCGAGTCGCCGCGCCTCACGTGTTACTTTCAGCAGCGGAATTGTACACAAGAGGACGATTGGGATTCTTTACCAAAGTATCGTTATCTTTTTTATCACCAAAGAGGTTAGTGCAATATTAAGAATAAGGAGTCGGACACTTGATTGATCATCGCACATAAAAATTCCGTCATTTCGTTATTCTTTCAGGTTTATTACGATTCGATTATCGATATATGGGAATTCGGGACGACTATTATGACGGCATGCATCGTTGTCATGCTGCTTCACGCTGCCATAGAAATTAAATCTTGGGTAAGTAAGAAGAAATAAAAATATATCTTATTTCAGGCAATGATAACGTTGTCTATTTCAGACTATAATTCATATCGGTGCCATCTTGGGTTCCTTGGGCATATTCTTCGGATTTTGCCTATTTTATAATGCCGTCTGCGTTAATTGCATGGGTTTACCAGGATCCTTCTGGGTAATGGAAACGGTCATTACGCGTCATACGTACTGGTTCACTGTAGTACTTACATCTGTCCTCGCATTAATGCCTAGGTATGTTCGCCTTGTAAATTAAATTAAGACTGCAATAATTATGCGATATTAATTCAAGACTGTAAAGATGAACTTGCACTTTTTCGTCTTTAGATTGTATGATTTTTATTTTATGTACTTTAAACTCTTCGCGCGTGTTTACAATTCCATATAATTAAATTATTATCGTTCTTATATCGGCATAATTATACAATGGCTGGCATAATTATACATTCTTTGGTTTTTTAATGCTCTAGGTTACTCTATAAAGCGATACAATCAACCATCGCACCAGATGCTATACAATTCATCTCGCAGCAAATTGCCGCAAAAAGCGGTAGTCAAATTCGTCGGCAGCGTATCAGCAGTCAAAGAGGCGATGTCAACTTTATCGCTGGATGGTCACGTTCCTCGCAACACGCTACCATCAGGTATATGTCAGTTACCGTGCTATCTAATTACGTTAAATATGGTTTCCGCATTATTCGTTTTCCAGAATGTATCATTTTTACTCATTGCAGACCCGGTAGCTACAGAAGCAAAAGCAGCGCTCTCACGACTATCGTTGCGTGACAGGTATAATCAGATTGTAGTGAAGCGTGTCCATTTCATTAATTCGGAAAGTCGACTTTAGTCGCCGCGAAGAAAGGGAAAGAACGCGGACTCTTTACCGTCGCGATCCTCTTCGAAAGCCGCGTGTTCCTTCATCGGTTAAGAGAAGATTTTTTTCTTACCTTTTCTGAAAGTCGTTTGCACTGACAACCGTGATTAACTATCTCTGATTCACGATTCCCTGCAAATCGTGGTTGTAGCTATATAATGATGTAGATACGCGAAAAGGAAAGCTAGTTAATCATGGTTAGTGCAGCCGAGCATGAAAATTTGCGCTCGTCACTATCTAACCATACAATATAGATTATTAAGAAGCGTTGAAACACATTTTGTCGTTCGTGACGCGTTCGCTGCGCGTCCTCGTTATCGCGATAACGGTAACATTTTCATTGCCATTCTCGAATTCGAGTTATCGCGACTGAATTTAAAATCGAGTGGCCTTAAATCTCAGATTGTTCGTTGCATTTAATGGCTGTGACTTCTAGGGACCAAGACTGTGCGTTGTAATTGTATCAGGTAAGCCGGATTCGAGCGAAAGTCTCTATGCCGCGCTATTACAAGTATTTTATTTGTATTTTTTTTCGACCTGAAACTTTTCACTCGAACGTGTATCCGCGTGTATTCTATTTTCAAGCGGAAGACCAACGAACGGAGAAACAGAGACGGATATATATCTAGAGAGCGTTTTATTTATATATATATATACCTTCGAAGAATAAGTGTACAAAGATGTTATAAAAAGAGAGTGTTAAGCATATATGTATATACACAGTGTGTGTTTCGCGAGAGGCGCGGTTCACCCGCTGATAGATATTTTATCAAACCGATTTATTTTTTAAACAAGTTTTTAGCTAAATTATCATTAGATGTTACGCGTCACATCATAAAGTGAACAGTAGGAAGCAGGCGCGGACGCAAAAAACAGTAATTGCGTTGGGTTATTTCCTATTTCCGGTTGATCCACATGCGTACGATCGATGGAACGCCTCAGATAAATTATAATAAATTAATATAATATGACGTTATACACGTGCTTTGTTATATCTATTGTTGTGTTATTACCAATATCAAAGAAAAAATATTGTAAGATATCAATTTAGAGCTTTTAATTTGGATATATAATGGCATATTGAATGTTATATCGATAACACGTTGCACGTGCTATCTCATAGTATTTTGATAATGATCGGATTATCGTTGTGTTGTGCGTTTACCGATGTAAGGAGAGTGTGTTGCGTAATTAAAAGAAAACGAATCAACTCTCTGTTATCTGTATCATGTTTCTGCCAGCCAATTGCCTTTTTACCCAATCGTCCTCACGTAAACATTCAATCAGCAGACTTTATCGTCGTATAATTAACGTACAGTATACCTAGTGTAACTGCGCGCTACAAACCGAACCAAACGAGATATTTTGCATGTATATATATCGCTTCTTTGTTGCATGTACAATAATTATGAGATATTTTTTCAATAAAAGCAAATGAAAACCGAAAAGATATACAATTCTATGATTATCAAGAGAGAGAAAATAATTGAATATAAAAATTCAAGAAGAGAATTTTAACATTTATGAATCTAAAAATTCTGAAAAATTAAAAATGCAATTGACTTTCTTCAAGCAAATCATTTTAGTCCGCGAGATAGTTTGTAAGCGATAACGATAAACAAATTGAAGCTGCGCTGTATCAGGAATCGCGTATGTAAACAAATAGTGCCTATAAAATGTAAATTTGTGGTTTAGATGCTCACGCTTTTTTAATACTTATTTCTTTTCCTCAACAAGACATTAATGACGTCACTGTGATGTCATAAATATTACTTATATATGCTTATTTCATTGAAGTAGAACAGTGAAAGCAAGAAAGTTTTTTGACCAAAGGAAAACGTGAAAGCAATATTATTTTACGACCATTTTGATCTTATTAATGAAGACGTTATGAGATATAGATGTAGACAAAAATTGATTATACTATTTTTAAAATGTCAATTTTTTGAGTAAGACAAAACAAGAGATTCATCCTTTTTAAATATATATACAGATTCTCTTTCTTATCCATCATTTTTACACATACTCAATTGCTTGCAAAGTCAAGGTGAACGACTCTTGTTTCGATATGAGCGATGAAAAAATTAATGAAAAAAATATCGCTATAAAAGCGCGTGAGCGTCCGAAGCGTACTTGTTCAAAATAAATGCCAGCTAAATACAAGCGGATCCGACTGTGAGCACCACTGACTCATGCGGAAACGCTAGGACGTCGGAGGGGATGGATCGGTGAAGGTGAAGAGCGCAGGGGATGGGATTGGCGTGCTCGTGCTGCGGCATGCTCTGTCGCCTCAGTGCTGGCTGGCCAGGCGGTATTTGCTTGTGTAATGTGGAACTTCTTTCGCAGATGCGTGCTCGATCCGAGATCGCACACGTGTTCGTTCGGTGAACTGATATTTCCCGCATATTCGTGAGCGCGAATTGATCGAATCCAAGAGGTAAGTGTGCAAGAGAGCGCAAGGACAAGGAAAATTAACGTCAAACGTTCTCTACCTGTCTATCTAACGCTACACTGCCTACCTTTCTTTGTTCCGTGAATGAAATTCGTTCCGTTGGTGTGCTGGAAACTACTACCGACTTTTCACCACGATCCTACATTTTCTTCCCTTAACAAGCACCTAGAAAAATGTTTAAAACATTCAATATGTAACTGTAATCATGTGATTATTATATATGACAAAAAATGCGACAATATGCTGATTCCAGACGAATTAAAAAGTGTAACGCGAATAATAAATAATGATTTTTACGATCGCATCTACGATAGGTATAATTGTGCAAAGGTCCAAGGTCGAAAATTGCATGACAGCTGATCTGCAGCAGTGTCATTATATGACGCATGCTCCAAATTCTCCAAGCTAATATTCTATTTCGCGGAAGCGTTGTAAATTGCAATATATATTAAAAACAGGTCTTACAATTTTATTCTATCTGCTAAATGTATGGCACATCGCAATGTTTACTTTTCTTTACTCTGTCATTTGTACCTCCGGTAACATATGATCGCGATTTTAGCGGACGGAGTCTCGTATCGCGATGAAAACTTGGACTTTAATTTAGAAAAATGTATGTATAAATATTTCTTTTACTAGTGCCATTAGTCGTACATTAATTAATATCTATGGATATTATATATAACGTTACATCAAATATTCTTATATGGGTTTTAAATGTCGGCGTCGATCCGGTCAATGTGTATTAAATTTATATTTGACGTAATGATGACGTTACATATAGGCGTACGATCACCGTAACACTTTTCGTACTCGTCATATCATATATCATGATGACGTCACTGGGAAACTCGCATCGCTATACTTTTGTGGATTCGACCGAGACTAACGGTCTCGTCGATGCGACGCGCCGATTGACACTCAACGTACAATACTCGTGATAATGTGCTTTCATAATGATAACGATACGTACACAATAATGAGCGTAATGCAATAGAATGCGAAATATACTTCGGAGAATATAGATAAAAGGGATTAAGAAAAATTAAAAGTAATTAATTATGCGAATAGATTCTCATTCAAGAATTAGAATCTTGAGCGATGAAATAAAGGATTGAATTAAAAATGTTAAAATACCACATCCTTTTCCTCTCCCTACTGATTAACCTTCTACACAACTACGTATTGATCCTTTCTGGTCACGCAATAACTGTAGCGATGTAATCATATATCAAACGATTTGCATTGGATTTTCGGAATTTTTTAAAAATTTTGCTCGTTATTTCCAGTACCAATTAAAGAAAGATTTATTTTTCATTTTTTCTCTCTTTTAAATTGATTGTAATAAAAATTATATTTTTTTGTAAAAACGAATGGAGAGAAAATTTAATATTTGGAGAAATTCCGAAAGAAAACCGAAACTTAAACTTTACAATTTAATTGGAATAATACATTTTTATACGTATGTTTTAATTCATCGATTTTTTACAGATTGGACATTCTTGTCAAGAAGATTAAAGGAACGAACTATCTGCGCCTGATTGGTATCAGCGTCTATCTTATAATTGGGAAAATGAGCAGCTCAGCACACTTGCAAATAACTCTTTTGATATATGTCAGGATAGCAGTATCCTTGATGTAGACGACCTTTGATGTTACGTGAACCATCAAAGAATTTCAAACAAATCAAGTTCCTGTTTTATATTCACCGTTTCAAATCTAATGTTTATCCGTGAGAAAAAAACTTTCGAGGTGTTTCTGTGAAAACAACATTGTAACGAAAAGATGTTCAAAATGCACGATTCTTGACAAAGAAGAAATTGCTAATTAGAAAATAGATAAAAGCATAAAATTTCACGATATCATAAGATATCTCGAGTAAACGAAACACATTTCTTGGCAACATCACGGTCACATTTGTGAAAACAAATTATATGATTTTATAATTTTGGAATATGAATGAATGTTTGCTTCCAAAGAGACAACAAAAGTAACGGAGAAAACCAATAAAATCCAGAACCCTTCGATTATATCTCTGAGGTAATAAATTTTTACGAATCGCTTGTGTAAATTTATATAGTGTGTGAATTTATGACTTTGTTAAAACTTGATAACATATGATAAAAGACACCGATAATAACACGTTAATAAATTTTAGTGCGACGAAGAATTCACATCGAACTATACCAAGTTCATCTCGCATCATCGACCACGAAAACGAACATACTTATGTTAACGTCAAAGAAGTGAGGAGAAGAACAACGATAGATTCAAACAATAGTTCCATTGACAGCGTTGATTCACGTGAAACGCGAGAAGTGCGTGTATTAAAGCTAATGAGTTTGTCTTGCGTTCTATACCTTACAAGCCTTACATAATCGCGTCAGAGCCGGATCAATCGTGTGCCAACGATGACCTTGGCGATCTCTTACCGATGGTGGTTCGCGAGCTCGATTTCATCGAGGAAGCGAATAATGATGCCGAAGAGGAGTTGACGTCGTCTACAATCACGCGAATAGTCGCGCTCGATTATAACTTTGACATTTCCCGATGCTTCTCGGAGATGTCACGAGTTGCTTATAGGCAAAAGCGCGAATATAGTACGAAAAGTTGAGTCAAAGAGAGAAAGAGAATTAAGCAGCAGATGAAACATGACGGTCAGCTACACTGCTGAAGTAGCCACTTGCAGAGGGCTCGGTTGCTTCCCCAAGTTGCTGCTCAGGTGAGATGACGATTTTAATTCTCTGCCATTCGTGAGATCATTTCGTATATGAAGATTTGCAATTTTTGATCGATGTTTTGATTTTTGATTTTATTATCAAAAATATATGTTTTTTAATAAAAAATTGCTTGTCTATGTTTGAATAGTAATTTTACACGATATTAGAAAATATTATATTAATACTCATCCTATTAATTTTAATGTGTACATAACTGCTTACAATTTCTTATGTTTATATCATTTCCCACCCGCTTATTATTTTCCGCTTCCTTTTCATCCTCGTTTTCTATGTAATATTGTAATGTGAATTATGCTATTGCAAGAGATATAATTAAATACTTTCTTTTTCCGTTTAATTATTCGTCCGAATTCATCATTTTACGTAAAACTTACGTAAATGTAGATTCTCTATATGCCATAATGGCATTCACGAGCAAGCTGTTCTTTAGAATAATTTCACCGTAACTTATATTGGAATACTTCCAATCGCAAATAACGGATGACGACACGTTTTTAACGCGTGTTTGCATAAAAATAAGACACTCTCCGTCATTCAAAGTTAACATACTATTTCAAACGTAATGCCGCTGTTCGTGGAAAGAAACTAACATAAGATACGGTTTCTACTCGTAAGCAGAATTATTGACTTTTGGCTCGATAACAGTGACGCGATAACGTTAGTCGCATATATTATGTGCAATGGTTTTAAATTAAAATGTTTTATAACTGTTTTGTCACAAATTTTAAAATGCACTAGATCTTAATTAGGACTTTTGTCTACTCGCCAAGTATGAGACACGATTTCTCGGCACGAGATATCATCTCGAGCCATATCTCTATTCCGTGACAGATGTTCGCTTCTCATTTACGAGCTATGCGATTTGTTTCAGATGGCGAGCGAGTATTTACAAACTCGTCTGGCTCGACCTATCACTTTTCCTCTTCATCTACTATTCGCTGTCTGGCATCTACCGATTGCTATTAAACGAGGAGCAGAAGAAGATTTTTGAATTTGTGGTGGCATACTGCAATGAGTTTAGCGACCTAATACCGGTTTCGTTTATCCTGGGATTCTATGTTACTATCGTGATGACTAGATGGTGGAATCAATACTTAGCGATACCATGGCCCGATTCCATTGCGGTCTTCGTATCAGCCACTATACACGGAAACGACGAGCGCGGCCGTTTAATGCGTCGTACGATCCTTAGGTACCGTATAATGTTAAGTTATTATAATATAAAGTTGGAGCAAATAATGTCAGAGAAATGAAAAACAGCGTAATATTTTCCTCTTTTTCTTCTAAATGATAGAACGTGAACAATCTTATATAATTCTCCTCTCAAAGTATTATACATTTTATTTATTCGGAATCAATAAAATATTTTATATAAATAATTATTAATTATATATATTCCATCATGTTTTAGATAAAAATAAAAGATAGAAACTAAGAAGCGCATTTTTTCTTATTGTAAAATAATTATAAAATGATTCTCCGCGCAAATTTTATCGAGAAATAAATTATTCCAGGTATGTGTGCGTCTGTTTGACTGTGGTCCTAACAAATGTCGCACCGCGAGTGAAGAAAAGATTCCCCACCTTGGAGCATTTCGTGGACAGCGGCCTGCTACTGGACAACGAACTAACGATATTCCAAAGCCTGAATGCGAAATTTCCGAAGCCGAGCAAGCATTGGTTGCCGATAGTTTGGGCCACGAGTATCGTGACCCGCGCTCGAAAGGAAGGTCGAATACGCGACGATTTCGCGGTCAAGACTCTTATCGACGAGCTCAACAAATTCCGCGGAAAATGCGGCACTATTTTACACTACGACACAATTAGTGTCCCGTTAGTCTATACTCAGGTAAGTACAAGTTCTTAAATTAATAAAAACTAACGAAAAAAGCGATTTGCGTCCATTATTGGATACATCATTCATAAATATGTATTATATACTATGTTTAAGAAACTTGTGATTTATTATAAGTTTGCTTCATGTTTTAGAGTTTTAAATTTTACTTTATTTTTTCGCCATGCAGGTCGTCACATTAGCTGTATACACCTACTTCCTGACTAGCGTAATGGGTCGTCAATGGATTCAAACGTCAAACTCGGTCATTGATCTGTACTTTCCGGTATTCACGACGTTACAGTTCTTTTTCTATATGGGCTGGTTAAAGGTAGCCGAAACGCTAATCAATCCGTTCGGCGAGGACGACGACGATTTCGAAGTAAATTGGTTAATCGATCGCAATTTGCAAGTAAGAGTCATTTTCTTTCTTTTGTCTCTCTTTTTCAAAATTTATCGCGATAATAATTTATCTAAATTTGCAATTGTATAATACTTTCGTGCAGTTTACGAATTTGTAACGAAATATCCATATTTAATGACGTTATTATTCGTCCGCTTTTAAGGTAAGCTATTTGATTGTCGACGAGATGCATCACGATCATCCGGAACTCATACGCGATCAATATTGGGACGAAATATTCCCCATGGAGCTCCCATATACAGCCGCGGCGCAACCCTTCCGCGAGGAACATCCGCAACACTCAACAGCCGGCATACAATTGTCCGCCGCGCAACAAGAACTGCAACCGTCGTCGGTTAAAATCGAGGATCTGGCACCAGATGATCAGAAATTCCACTCTGACATTGCCGACGACGCTGCGTCGGGCATACATTTCACCGCGACCGGAAAAATTTCCCGGTAAGCGCAAATTGTTTAGTTCCTTCAGTAATATTTATTCAAATTTGAAAGAGAAATATGTTTACTGACGCGTCATTATTATTTTTAATGCAAATTTAGAAATGGTTCAGAGAGCACTGAGAAATTAGTAAGGTAACTTTTATCTATATATCTTGCGATAGATTAGTTTGGTATAATGTAAGAGCTCAAAATGCAATAATTGCATTAATAAAATTAGATTTTTAGACAAAATTTTTTTAGAAAATACGATAATTATAAATGTAAAGACAGATATAATAGCAATTGAGTATTTACGATTCCAACAATAACTTGTACTGATTTTTTATTAGAAGTGCCAGTAGAGTGAGTAATCGAGAACGCAATCTCAGCAGCGGTTCAACTCCTAGCAACTTGGGTGGCTCGCTCACCAGAATAAACAGCGTTACAAGCGTACTTAAGAGATTCTTTAGCAAGGAAGACAGACCGGACGGAGGTACCACAAGTGGCACTAAAACTCCGGCAAAGATTACGAACTCAAGCTCGGCAGCTTCGTTGCAAATACGACCACCTGGTATGTCTTTTATTTAATGTCAAATAACGAGATCAAGATATAATACAATGGAAATTGTTGCAGGTGCGAGTAGTTCTATGCGAATAGGCGTCATCGAGGAGGTAGACGAGCAACTGACGCTCACATCGTTACGGCAATCGAACGATAACAATAGACCCCATGTACAAAATATATTCGCACAAGGCCCGCCACCGCCGAGCGATCCCGTAGACGTGCCTAAACCAACGCAATTTCGTAACCGCGAAGTATTCTCTAGGAGCGCACCTGCACGAGGAGGAGTCCTAACTACAGCCGATAGCACGGAATCGGGAACCACGCACGAAAGGCCGAGCACTTTAAGGTTGGTAATTTAACAACAGATCTATGAAACATCGTGAAATACACAAATGATATTCGGCAATTTTTCAATGATATTTTATATATGTATGACAAATATATATCAATGAAAGTTTATTAGAGATATATATTGGATTTAATTAAAATGTTTTCTTATAGAATTAAATTTCTATAGAAACTTTTGAATATATATCACATATATTTGAGAGTAAATTTTATTCAAAATACATTTTAATTATATATATAATTTTGAGGGATTTTATTCTTATCTTCAGGACACAAGAATTCACGCAATCGGCGCGATCGAGCTTTTACGATCCGGCAAGTTACCCCGGTAGCGGAATAAACGATGATCTACCCAGTACCTCAAGCTCCTCGTGTTGCAGCGACAATGCTGCGAACGAATTTACGAAATTGAAAACCGAGAGAAAGAAACAGAGACGTAACCGTAAGCTCGCTCGAAGTGTCAGCGGGCAGATCGGTACGTTTAATCAATCGATAAGTTCTCCAGATACGGAGACTCTTTTGCTGACGGAATTAGCGGACGCGTCGCGACGTAGCATGAACGAACGTGACGAACAGTTTTAGAAAAATATGTTATTTTTACATCCACGTTTTTCATGATTGGCCTAAATAAGCCTAAATAACTAGAAATTGGATAGAGTAGCGCGATAATATATCACCTCACATAAGTGGTAGATTTTTTACGTATTTTTGATGTACTTATATATTGAAACAATATCTCGCGAAAAAAATCCATAATTGTGCTGTCATCATTCAAAACAAAGCGCTGGTGATAAAAATTATTATTTATATATAAATCAATTGTAATTCTCGTGATATCAGCGTTAAGCTTTGAAAAGTTTATAAAATGATATAAGTTGAATATTTTAAATGGATATATATATATACATATATAATGCAACAACTATCATGCGAAAGTTTAAGCATAAGCAACAAAACTAAAACCAGCAAAGAAAATTTCATAGTCCTTATAAATGAGAAACAAAAAATCTCGTATTTTTTAATATAAAAAATGTATATAGCAAAAACATATAATTAATTTTGACTATGATTAAGTATTTACACTGATACACATACATAGAATACTTCCATAATTCTCAAGCGAATGAGAAGCGTAAAAAAAAAAACTATAAAGGTGCTATCAATGAAAATGTATCAATTCTTAATCGATATATCCGATTAAACCTCTTTTAAAGAAATTACAAAATTAGAAAAACCCCGTCTTTGAAAATTTATAAAAAGTAATTCCCCAAATTTACGTAAAAAAAAAAGTTAAATACAAATTGCTTAATTAAGATCTGTCTACATATACTCTATATTTAAACTTTGTATTCAAGATTCTATTTTGTGTGAATTTAATTTTCATGTTTTATCACAGTATTACACATAAATATATCCATAATCTTATGGACGTACGCACAAACTATTTGACTATTGTCATCATTTTCGATTCAACATTCCACGATATACACGATTTGTTATTAGCGCTCATAAATAAGCCATTTATTTTGCAGTATTATTAAAATAAAGTATTTTCGATAAGATAAATATTGATTTTTTGTCTATTACAATGTAAACATTATAAACATATACAATGTAAAGATATAGATTTTTTATTTTTTTCTGATCGTATATCACGAAAATGGAAGAAATCGCTCTTATTAGCCCTTGAATGAACGAAACAGAAATAGCAATTTTTACGAATTCGAGCAGAGATTTATTTTCAAATAATAGGAAAAAGAATTAAAGTTTATCGCAGAACGATACTACAAAATATCGAAAGCGGCCAACTAATTGCAATAATCGCGTTTAATATAAAAATAAAATTCGAATATATCTTAATAAATATTAAAAATAATCGAGATATAAGAATGAATTAATTGAGAAACAATTCATTTAGTTGCAAGAAGGAAATTTGAATTTCGCGGCAAATATGTTTGCCGTACTTACCGCCAAATGTTGCCAGACCTGCTTTAGTCTTCTTTCAAGCTGCTCGTAGATCTAAAGCACTCGTATATCGTAATTCCGTAATATCGCGACAGCGGGATAGAACGCGACGAGATGGACGACACTCGCGACAAATATGCGTACATCACTGCGTAACGTGTTATCGTCGCGATCTTACGGCGATACAATCGAATCTGACCGAGAATAACAAACCTACTCGTCGCGGTCGCCGACGCGTGCGCGCTCGGCCGTGTTCGGTCGCGCTCGGTAGCTTTCGGGCGCTCGGCGGTTCTCGGGCTCGCTCGGCCGTCTCCGGCGTTGGAGGGGCGGCGAATCGCGGCCGGCTTCGTGCGTAGCGCCACACAGTGCCAGACCGTCGGGGAGAGGTGGCGGTGCCGTTTCACGCGTCAACGCGGAGTGGGAATAGAAGGGGCTCGCGTTCGCGAGCCGTGCCGAGCCAAGCCGAGAGCCGTGTGCGCTGCCGGGCCGGACCGTGGAGCAGCGTGGAGCAGCGCGACATTGGCTTTTAGCGGTGGCGCGGCCCGTGTGTGCCATAACGGCCACTGCCGGACACGAGACGATCCATAGTACAGTAGTAGTGCGCGTTCGTTTACAAGATGGCAGACGATGGTCCGTCCGCGGCGGAGGACGCGACCGCGGCGGCGGCGAGCAAACTGGAGGACAGTGATTCTCGCGTGACGAGGGAGCGGCACAAACGCGCGGACGCCACCACGCCGATCGTGACGACTTCAAGTCAGGACGCTTCGTCCGCGAAGCGCGGGCACGAGGACGCCTTTTCGTTCGAATCTTCGATCGACGATCATCATCGTTCGCACCACGACCGTCGTGTCCATCACCGTCATCATCAGCATCATTCACCTCGTCATTCTTACCATCATCCACCATCACCATCTCATCATTATCATCATCATCACCACTTTAATCCTTATCGCCATCACCTTACCAATCATCGTGACAACGACAACGATCGCATTGTTAGCAACAACCACAGAAGTTGTGGTAGTAATAGTGGTGGTGGTGGTGGTGGTGGTGGTGGTGGTGGTGGTGGTGGTGTCGCGGCGACCGGTGGTGGTGATGATTCGTCGTCGTGCGTCGACGCGACTGGGACAGCCGCGAGTGACGACGAGGAGAAGAGCGGCAGCGTCGGCGGCGTCGACGGCAGTGGTAGCGGCGGCGGCGGCCACGACGGCGGCAGTGGCAGTGTCCGACGACGAGGAGGAGGAGGACGACGACGATTATTACGACGGCAGTGGCGGCGTCGATAGTGACTGCGACGGTGATAGTGGTGGCAGTAGTAATAATATTAGTGCTAGTAAAAGTGGTGCTGGTGATGTCGCGGTAATCATGACCGGTGGTAATAATAATAACGCGGCGACGCGCGTCGGCGTCGGTGTCGAGGACGCCGACGGTACGACCGACTCGTCGTCGTCGTCGTCGCCGCCGCGACGTACGAGCGCGGACGGTGTACTGGAAGTGAATGACCGCAACGAGGATCGCAACGACGGCAGGAGGAGAGCGAGCGTCGCCGTAGTCGCGACGACGACGACGAGGGAGACGAGGGAGACGAAGCCGATGGCGGAGGAAGAGACGCGAGCAGCGGTCGGCGAGGACGCTGCCGCGGCTACGAAGACGGATAACGGCGCGGTCGTCAGGCATCAGGGAAGCCCGTTCAAGGGACAGGTTAGGATGGCCGAGAACACCCTCGTCGGACCCTGCGGCAAGAAGCGGTGCGCGGATCGATACGACAGCTCCGAGAGCTCTGACAGGTGAGTGAGTGAGACGATTGAAAGAAGAGAGGCGGACGCGGGACGGGAGAGAGAGAGAGAGAGAGAGAGAGCGATAGGTCTAATAGATTCTCGCGAATCGAGAACGTACGAATCTGCGCGATCTCGAATACCGATTGCGCGAATGAATAATTTATTTATCGCGTATTTTCCGGAACTAGGGGCGCGAATCGTGCATCGTATCTCCATATCGGAACGCGATTTCTGCTTTAACAATCACGATCGCGATAATGTACCTGGTGAAATTTAATATCGTCCGCTGTGCTACAACAACAAATAACGACGCGTTCGAATCACATTGTTTCTCGTATCACGTATCGCGCGAGACGAGCGTCTTCTCGCGTTACTCTCGCTCGCTAGAGCATCGTCGTCGACTCGCTTTCGAAATCGGTCTCGCTCTATTCGGTTCCCGATCGCTCCGTGACTGCTTTCCGCTCGCCGGAGGAGCGCGTCGTAATTAGCACGATGCTTGGACGAGAGTAGAGAGGAGAATTCACGCGGGGGTCGTTGTACCGCTGTTACGCGACCGACGACCGTGTCTGCTGCTGCTGTTGGCCGTCCATCCGTCCGTCCGTATTCGATCTCTCTCTCTCTCTCTCTCTCTTTCTTTCGCTCCTCTCTGTGCGCGCCGTCGTGTGTTTATAGGCTCGTAGAGATGCCTGCTATCTCTCGTCTCTTTCTCTCTCTATTACAGTCTCCTCTTCGACCCTTCCATCGGGCCGAACGACTGATTATTTTGGTGCATCGCGCGTTTATACCGAGCGCGTCGCCCACTCTTTTCAGCCGTTCGCTGATTAACGCGTCGCCAACTATAAACAATATTGCGCTTTTGCAATACGTACGTTACAAATGTTGAGGTCTCGCCGATTAACGTGAATCGCGAATCGCTATTTATAAACAAAGCGGGAATTTTTTTAATACATCGCGCATGGTAATCGTGAGGTTCTCACATTTGTTGTGATGTAATTTTATCATCGTTCTCTCTACGACTCGAAACTGTTATCTCTATTATACGAGGTAATATCAACGGGTGCTCGTATCCGAAACACAAAATATGCGTGGAATCTAACACCGGTATTTCCTAGAGCGAAAGTAATCAATGACGAGTACGACGTTCATCTTACATCAAACATTTCCTCTCTCCGTTTCCGGCAGTCACGGAATGATTGGCTTTTTTAGTATAACATGAAATGTTTGTATCGTTATTATCGACTATATGCGCATTGAGTTTTCGTAATTACACATTTATGAATTTAATATATTTATCATTTGTGAATTAAATATAATATAAATTGAATCATTTATGAATTTAATATATTTATCATTTCTGAATTAAATATAATATAAATTAAATCATTTATGAATTTAATATATTTATTATTCGTACAAACACGAGTGCATCATCTTACATTACATCGTTCATTTTCATACGTTTATTAAAAAATACGCAAAAATGTTTTATACCATGTGATTCGTAAAATGACTTTAAATAAGGGGCGAACAAATACGCGGGACGTTTCCTCGAAGTCACATCTCTCCACAAAGGGTTAATATTCAGGTTAATTTCCTTTTCGCGTTCAAAGATCTCGCATGATTTTATCGGCGGACAAGCCTATGTCTTTGTCTCTCTCTCTCTTTCTCGAGACTTTTGTCGATTAACGGCGCGTTGTTGTTGGTCTCGCGGGTTCCTAAAGCGACGTCGATATCCTCTACATGAGCGCGAGGGAAAACGGGTCGCAATAAAAGTTTAGTATCCTAACGGTACTTTGTCGTGGTACACTAAACTCTCGACCGTCGTGTGTCTACATAGAAAGTCTCCGCTCCTCTCTCCCTCCCCCTTCCTCCTAGATAACCGCATTATTGTGCCCGTTGACGGACGACTCGGTAACGTTTTCCGGTGCGACGAGTTTCCGCGCCTAATTCTCACGTTTGCATCGACGACGCTCCTCTATGAAGAGTGACATGATTTTACGCGCGATCTCTCGTAATTACACGATGTCTTATTACACTTGTAATAAGACATAGATTACTGTAAATTCGCGGATTTAATTTTATTTTCCCGCTGATCTTTCATCTTTTATTCATTATCTTTTATGTGTCTCGTCAACGTTTTTTTTTTTTTTTTTTTGTGGAATATGGAATGTATTAGAATAAGAAAGAAATGGATTGGAACACATCTTAAAGAATTCTTTAGAAAAATAAATGTCTTTCACAGAACGATTGAGAAATTTCGATGAGTTGAAAGATAAATATTATCATCTTATTAATTTAATTACTATAGATTTTTAAAATTTTAATTATTTAATTAATTTGTTTATCGCGTGTTTGCGATTTAAGATGAGTGTGATATATTACAGGAGAGAAAGAGAAAGATTAAAATACTTTTTTCTCGCAATTCACACATATATGTATCTCGCAGCGAGTTATCTCGGCCGCACATTTTCATCTTGTTTTTATGTACACAAATATGCGGATTGATAATCGAACTCATTCAGATAAACAGTCGACATAGTATTTGCATTTAAAATAACGGCCGAGTCAAGTGTTGCCCGTGTTTTGCATTCCTATGGCATGCAAATACGTATTTATTCTCATTATTTTCCTTACAATAAACAGATTTCTCTCTCTTTTTTCTCCTTTGACGCGCATATCCTCCTTTTTTTCCTATTTTCGATTGAACGTGTCGTGGAAAATATACTTTTTACCTTTAAACTTTACGCTTTAAAAGAACTCAAAACACGTAAAAATTTATATCTTCAAGTACGGTTTATATCCTAACAACATTTATCTTTTTCCAATAAATTTCTGATATATACATTGATTTCATTTTGTATGCAGCAAGCATAACAAAATGCAGTTAAAAGAAGCAGACTGTCACAATGCTTTGACCTGAGGGAAGTAATTCGCATAATAAATTCGTCCCTGAGTCTATCCGCAAGTTCGAAAGGGTCACGGCAGAGTTCCGCCGTTCGTTCGTTCGTTCGTTCGTTCGTTCGTTTACTCGGCAATGTTTGGTCGGCGACGGAGCAGCGTTCGCGTTCTCTCGTTTTCGAGCGGGTATTATTTTTAGAAGAGTCCACGTCCGCGCTCTCTCGTGCGGTCGGCTGCTCGGTTCCTCTGCCGGGTTTACGCACCGTCGATTACGCCGTCGTTCTCGACTTCACGTATACCCTCGTCTGACGAGATACCGATTGCAGTCTCTCCTTATACAGGCTGTTTCGCCTCGAATTTTTCGAAATCGCGAGGTATCCTCCAAGTTTTATTTCTTAAACAGATTTACAAATATTTTTGCATGGGAATAATTTTTTAATCCATCGGTTAATCTTGCGACGTGTTTCTCTAGACATAACATAATAATGCGTTTAAAAATGATTAAAATATCAAAAAAATTTTTATTTCTTTTTTTTTAAGTGGATACATTTTTGTACATTTTGAATTATATAAAATGATTTTTGATAATATATCTAAGCGCTTAAAAAAACATTTAATATAAAGAATGATGTCAAAATCTTTAAAGCGCTCTCTCTTCTTTAAGGAAATTTATTTTTGTCCAAAGTTACCAACAATTAAAATTGGCAAAGGAGTTCATGTTATTCGAACCATAATTAAAATTCAAAAAAAGTTGACTCAGCAAAAAGCATCGATCAAAATGTAATCAAATACAGGGAAAAGAAAGTGAAAGAAAGATTATATGAATATCATTAATCCAGTTGAAGGAATGAAATAAGAGAATAAAATATATAATTTAGCCATATGATTTCGCAACTGCAACCACTTCCTTAAATAAATAGCTCTTTGTAGGAAGAAAATTACATATTAGGTAATCGAGAAAGAGCTTGTATGAAACGTGAGAATTCATTATTTCCAGAATTTTGTGAAGTAATAATAACATGTGAATTAATCGTCTTATTTATATAGGATGACAAATCGGTAATTAATGATTACATAATAATATGTCAATCATCGTACAACATTTAACAGGGTCAAATCGATTTTTCCTTTGCACGTTTCCAATTTAATTTTTCTGTTTTTCTCATATCGCGCTACTTAAAGCTCGTGGTTATTAGACGTTACCTTCGATCCACTTCTCGGACACTTACGTTAGTGGTTGTTTCAAATAAGCTGACCTATCGCTCCGTGAATCCGTCGAAGCTTATAAACATATCGACGTTAATAAGCGCCATTAATTACTACGCCACAAACGTAGAAACCGAGATTGAAAAGCGGACGGTGTCACCGACGACGTTGCGCAGTCATAATTCGCATAATCATTTTACTGCCGTCTACTTAACCCAGCACGTGCCGCGGGTTTTCGACGGCAAGACGACTATATAAACGCGTTTTATACCGTATTTTAGCCTCGCGAATGTACAACCGGTCGCTGATTTATACCTTCTTCGCTTCGCGTACGCGTGTCGCTTTTACGGTCCGCTTCGCGATGCGATTTGGCCTCTTTTTTTCGCAATTTTAGGCGAACGCATTGCGCACAACATAAACCTCGATGTTGCATGAAACCTCAGTTTCGCAATGTCGTTACTCATCGTCATATTGGATAATTGATATAGATATTAATGCGAAGTAATACGTGTCCGGTGATTCACGAATTGACCCACAAGATATTTTAATGTCAATTTCCGTTTGAAAATTCGTAGAAATGGCTTTCAGCCACATCCTCGCATTACGACGGAAGGTCTGTCAGCCTAATTTCCCGCTTATGTACAGCCGTAATCGGCGTCTTTCGCGTATTATGACTTAACGATGCGGCGGCCGAGAAAATGGAACTAATGTTCTTAAGCTTTCTAATCGACGATTACGACATCGTTCGCGAAGACCGCAGGCAACGTTCGCTCGCGAGAAACCTCAACGCCGCCTCCGCGCGGCCTGTCCGCCTTCTCCTTCTTCTCCTCTCTTTTTTTCTCTCTCTCTCTCTCTCTCTCTCTCTTTAAGCTCCGTCATTTTATGCACCGCATTCGAGACTCGCC